TAAAAGACGCGGAACAAACTCACCCAGCTCCCTTCTCCCCCGCTGAACCTGGCGGACAGGTGCGCGGGGCGTGGCCTGCGACTGATGTCACCCGAGTGGGCGTGGCTACAGACTGACGGTGCAGGTAGCTTTTTTCTTGGCTCCGCCTGAAAAGTTGCGGAAGAAATCCAGCGTGTTTTCAGAGGCCCCCACGAGTTACAAGTTTCAAAATGTTTTATTTTTTATTAATAAATGTATTAATCACACTACATTTAATTCTAATTAGCATCTGAGATCCATGGGAATGTGAATTAAAGAATTTAGAAATATGAAGGCGAGCTGTGGGGTTTAAAGATCTTTGCAGGACATTTACAGTTCTATAACCTGATTTATCTTAATGCTGCACCAAGTCAGATTTCTCATCTGTAAAATGGTTAATATACAGTCAATTTACTACCTATGTACTTCTTATTAATCATGCAGCTGATGCGTTCTTTTAAAATGTTACATAAACATGAAAAAGTTCAAATGAGAGGACAGTATTTGAGCCATGTAGCTCTGGTATCAGTTTGATTCGATAATCTTATGCAGCCGAAAGAAAGGCTGTTGGTTTCAACATAATGGCTGGCCTGAATGGCCTGTGCCATTCTTCCACAACTCTTGGTGTAAAGAACTTTTAAATACACTTCCCCATGGCACCCTTTCACATTTCCCTTGGTTCATGTCAAAGTAGTTCACTGTATAACAGCATCCTATTTTTTAAAATGGTCAACCGCAGTAATTACCTAACTTATTAGCATAATTCCCAACACTAGTGCACTGTACCAAAATTCATATTATAGTCAAATAAATTCAAATTTCAAGGGGGTCAGGTGGAGTTTTGCAGGACAGTCACCTTGGAGAGGCCTGGAGCTGCTTGGTGTCAAACAAGCAGCAAAGAAAAAGTTGGCGACCAAGGTCAGCAAGCAAGTAATGCAAGCAAATGCAGTATCCAGATGGATCTGGATTACAAGGAATGAGCTTTGGCGATCTAAAGCAAGCTGCAGGGAGACAGACCTGATCTCATGTGAGTGGACCTGAGTAACAACACATGTACCATAAACAATCAAGTGAATCTCAGAGAAAATGAGGATTATATGTCTTCACACCTCTGTGTTAGTTTATTGTAAATGCTCCTCTGGCAGGGATTACACTAGCAATACGTCTCCTGTATGGTTCCTGGCCCTTCTCAGAGGGGATATGTGACCATTTTGGAGGAAGGTGTTCATGGTCTATTTCTCTTCTGTGGATTTTTCAAAATGGTTGAAGCAGTAAGACCAGTGAACTTATAGCAGGTTGTGCCTAGGAAGGGGAGGCCAGGAGGAAATGATGATGTTCCCAAAAACATTTTTTTTTTATGGGAAGAGAGGATTTACAGAAATCAAGGGATGAAAATGAATACTCATAAGTAATGGGGTTGCTCGAGTACACAAGGAAAAACCAAAACCGTAAACAAATAAAATGTATTTCAGACTCCACTGATGATTCGAAAATTCACCCTGCTAGTTTATTTAAATGAACAAGTAATAGGTTTATTCCTATCTCTCTGAAAAGAGAAGAAAGAAAAAACAAAGTTTCGTCAGCTACCCACCTGAACTAATTTATTATTTATTCATCCAGGTGGGGCTGCACATTGGTGGTGGTGGAGGGGAGACCCCATTACCTGTAAAGTGCTTTGAGTGGAGTGTCCAGAAAAGCATTATATAAGTGTAAGCAATTATTATTATTATTATTATTATTATTATTATTATTATTATTTAAATGCCTACTTACCAAACCACCAGGGCAATTATCAGTCAAAATGGAAGGAGGCTGTTCAACAGGAAAAGTTCAGAAATGATCAGCCAATAAAAAGCATCAGATAGATGAAGACAAATTCTGTCTCAAATTTATGCCTCAATTGCTTCTAATTAACTAATTAATTTTAATTCATTCATTCAACTAATTAATTTTAATCTAATCAATTGTTGTTATTATGTTTCAAATACAGAGGGCTCTATTAGCAAAGCATGTTTTTATATAGGGTCTGCAGCACTTTTCCCTTTGTGATACATTTGAGAACATAATTCCAATCATAGCAGGCATTGACAAGTGTTCTGACATAGGAAGAGAAATAATATTGGGAGCTAAAATTATTTAATAGTTAAAGTCACAAATCTACATAAGCATAAAGCAATAACCATATTCAAATCATTATCTTCTGCTCTTAATCTATTTCTGAAATGGACTGAGCTATGCTGACAATTGTAGAAAGAACACACTTGAAAAATTTATGAAAGCAATGTCGCAGAGTCCCTAGAAGTCTTCTGTAGGATGCTTGCATTTTGGCTCAAGTCCAGACTGTGATGTTTCTTTGAGCCAAGATGGCCTCTGACTAGGCAGGGATTTGGAAGCAGGTGTGCGTTATTGAGGCAGACACACCTGGGCATTCCACGTGGGAATTTTAGGGGTTTTGGGATTGGTTCCCATGGAATTAGCCAAACCCCTGTAATTAATGGAGGCTTATAAAAGTGAAGCCTGGAAGGAAGACATTTAGATTGTGCTTTGAGTTGGAGAGGAACAGGAGAATTATTTGTGGTGAGCTGTGTTGTTAATGGTCCTGTGGGTCTATAATACTGAGAAGTGGTTGGTGAGGAGTGTGATATCAATGGCTTGGAAAATTCAACCAGAACAGTGTTACTGAAGCCAGCTCAATCTGTGGAGCTTGACAAGCTGTGCTGTGGTTTGGAAATGCACGGTAGGGAGTGCTACATGTGCTGAGTATGTGTGATAGCTCATGGGTAAGTTACACTGGGTTGAGCTGAAGTTGAGGGGTAAAGTGCCATTGCAGACCCCTAGTCAGTGATGCTGAATGTGGCTGTTCAGGGTGTTGCATGCAAGAACAAGCCCAGGTTGTCCAAATTGCTTGGTGTCTCTTAAAGACCCTCTTTAGGTGAAGGTTAACTGGATGCTTTTCTGTGTGGATCTGAGGTGGTATAGTCTATGAAATGGGCTGAAAACTGCATTGATCCATCTTGAATGATGAAATTGTACAGGGCATGTCTTAGCTGCACACTGGTGGGGGGGTGACGATTCGATTCCAAAGAGTCCCATTCTGAGGGACTAGACCTGTAGGCTCAGAAGAAAACTGGACTCTTCCTGGTGTACGGCTTTTCTGGATCCAGAAACCCAGCTTGACACTGCTGCTCAGGGAGGAGAGATCCCTACACTGAAATCCCAGGTAGGACACTGCTGTACTTGGTTCTACTATTGGGGAAAGTTTGGGTAGGAACTGAAGGTGCTCTGGATAAAAGCTTCAGTCTAGGACCACAGTCCTTTGTGTTAAAGTGAGCTTCCACAGTAGTATCTCCACTGGACAGGTGTGTGGAAGTTGAGGAGCTCCCATTTCCCAAGTTTGGGAGTCCAGAGTGTGACTGGCCTGTGTAAGGATGTTTGGTATTGAATTGTCATTCTGAGATGATGACCAATGAGCCAGGACTTGGTCATATAACTTCTTTCCTTTCAACAGACCGGTATGCTGTTCCCCTGAGCCAAAACAAACAAAGAGCCCTGTTGATCATGTGGTAAAAGTAGAGATGGACAACTGAAGCTCTACAGCAGGAATGGGACATCCTCAACACTGCATCTGTAATGTGGAACAAAGATGCATGGTTTGTATGGTGATCCTTTGACCATCAGTCAAGTCTTTGGCCATGATATTGTAACAAAGTGTTACTGGAAGTTTTTCTTTGTATACAGCAATTAACTTCTATGAATTCTGTCCTTACTATCACTCTCTTCACTTGGAGAGTTCAGGTTCTGGAGAAAATTGTATTTTGTGTGTATATACACTGTATTTGGATCTGTTTTCATAAAATACAGATTTAGAAAAATTAAAAGGAGGCATGTGAAGATGTGAACTCTCTCTGGAAAAACCTTTCTCTTTAAAACTATTTTTACACAACGCATGCTTAATTGTGCTTGAACTGCATCAACACCTTTACATTTTCTGTTGCAAAAAAAATCAACAAATATTCTCTCTTCCCCCCCCCCATGAACATTCTACTATGTGTTTACTCATTCTCCAGTAGCACATTTGAACACTATTTCTTATTCTCCATGTTTTCTAAATTCCCGAATGACTGACTGAAAACTAACATCCTCCACCTACCTATTGCTGGCCTGCTGTTTGTATGCTTCCCTGTCACCACAGGGGCTTTTCTCCATCATCCCAAGGTCACCTCAGCTGGTTACTTTGGCTGAGAAAATCAGTCCTAGTGTATTTATGGCTGTGTGCCCAGTGAGAGACTGGCATCCCCCTTGATGGTGTATTCTGCCTTATACCTATTGCTTGCTAGGATAGGCTCTAGTTCTCCCACAACCCTGTATTCCATAATGTGTTGCTAGCAGTCATCTCATACTCCACACCCCCTGAAGCTCAGCAGGTGTGAGTCTGGTCAATAGCATGATGGGAGACCTCCTGCCAAAGCTAAGGTTTCTGCTGTAAGTGGTGTTATTGGGGCCAGTAGGGGGTGCTCAACCTGCAGTCTGTGTAGGTCCTAATGCCCTAGCAGAGGGACACTATAACATAAGGTTTCCATCCTTTGGATGAGATGTAAAAGCGAGGGCCTGACTCTGTGGTCATTTAAAATCCCAGGGCGTTTCTCTAAAAGGGTAGGGGTGTTACCCCAGCATCCTGAACACATTTCCCATTGGCCTTTGCCAGTCACGGCTTCCTAATAATCCCCATCTCTTAACTGGCTTCATCACTCTGTTCTCCTCCTCACTCCAAGCTGGTGTGTGGTGAGTGTACTGGTGCACTATGGCTGCCGTCGCATCATCCAGGTGGGGCTGCATACTGGTGGTGGTGGAGGGGAGTCCCCATTACCTGTAAAGTGCTGTGAGTGGAGTGTCCAGAAAACCGCTACATAAGTGTAAGCAATTATAAAGCAGGTAGAAAATAGGTAGATGGATAACCCCTTAGCAATAACCAGCATCCCAAGGAAAAATAATGAACATTTTCTGATAACCTACAGAAAAAAATCCTTTACATTTTGGTGTCTGCCTAGTGATACAATATCTGCCTTCACACCAGTGCCAGAGCAAGTAATATCGCACAGTAAGTAAAAAGCTACCCTACTAACCTCAAATAAGGGATCTAAGACTTAAGCGTTAGCTAGGCTTCAGCAGGAAACAGATTTTCTACTTAGTCTTGGTTTATATGGTTTATTACAGCACACACCCCAAACACTTATTTCTTCCAAACCAGGGGAAAGTTATCAGGAAATTGTATGAAACATTTACCTCCAACTTTTACATTAAATCTGAGAAACTCCCTCACATTTCAGCAACAATGCATTCCAGGTTGTTGACATAAATGTTGTCCAAAACAAAAACATGTTTTTTTCTAATGTGCTACAAGGTAACATTTTGCATATAACTTTAGCAAAGGCCTATTGGTTTTGAACAAGTGAAATTACATCAGAGAATTAATCCACTAATCCAAGGTATGTGCAAATGCATCCAGCCTTTTGTCCAATTAAAACATGCAAAAAAATCTCAGGAATGTTTTAATCAGCTCTCATTGTCTACTGATTTGCTTGTTAGAGTTGAATCACAAAACTTACAAGTTTTTAAATAAAAGTCAATGAGACTACTGTTATCAAAAAAGATCTGTGGTAATATTGGAAGATGAAGATTTGAACTAAAAACAATATTGAAACTTTGTGAAGTATGAGTCCTATTTAATGTATAGTAAAATCAACAGCACATACTGTAGATGGTTTTTGCCAGGTGGTAATCATTATTATTCAGTAACCTGGAGTAAGAGAACATACTGTATCTAACTTTCGATTCATTTTTATGACCTATTGGTCTTTCATAGGATTTTGAAATGTTATGGTAGCTATAACATAACTGTAACTTACCTGTAGTCTTATCTAATTGTATCTTGATTGAGCCTTATGAGAGATTATGAAAATCATATAAAAGGCTCAATGTGTTTAAAGTCATGCTTGATAAGAAATAAATGCCATGGCATTTATTTATGACTTTTTCCAATTATGAAACTTCTCAATGGATGTTTTACTTACAAAAGCGTGGTAGATCAGGGTTGTTTTGTTGCCTCACCTTGAAGGTATCATTTTAATTAGCCATTCCAGTAGAGAAGACGTACAGATACATCTTTACATGCTTATCACCAGAAGATTTGAATGGAAAGTATATTAGTATAGAACATTCTTCTTTATTTATCTGCTCACTTGTATAACACTTAGATATTTCCCCCAAGCACAAGGCTCATAAAATACTTATGTGTTAAGAAGAAATTAACAGAATTTTAAAACACATAATATTATACATGTAAATATTCTGAAAGCTGGTCTACTCATCATTTGTGCATACCTGACATTTAATTTTTTTTCCAGTTTTGGCACATCTAGGGCTCATTTAATGCAATGATTAGTTCTCACTTCAGCAAACTCACGACTTGCAGAAAATATTATCAATGTCAGCAACAACTGCATTGGCTATTTCTGTTTATGGGTTAATATGACTGTAGGGATTACAAGAACAATATTGATCCTGGAAAAGACAGGTTTGGATTCTGTTTTTCATAATCCAGTCATCAAGCTGCATTCTAAATTGTCCACTGATTGCAGCCAGTAATGTGGATTTGTCACTCCTTTGAGGTTGTAAAGATCTTCGAGCAGTTTTCCAGCACCTTGCTGCAATGCCCATGTCTCTGTCTCTCTCGACAGGGTGAGTTAGACTTCAGCAACCTACGAAAATGAGCGAACAACACAACAAAAACACACATTAATGACTGAAAGTGATTTTCTTTTGAAAAGAAAAGCAGTGCATTGCGGACCAGTTTCCAATTGTGTTGTCCATTGATAACACTAACCTCACAGTTACCTGGCACGCCATTTATTTTGTAGAAAGCTGAGGAATCCCTGACTGAGTTACAGGAGAGCCCAACAACTGTACTGTACCACTTAAGGAAACCTGCTCATGGTCATTTCAGTGTTTCTTATAAGTGAGCTTCCTTGATGTGCATGTGGAGGAGAGGCACTGGTGTTAATTGCCAAATGAATGCATTAAAATATCATTTAAAACAACAGGAAAAAAAATCTAAAACAAAAAATCAGACCATATCATTATATGTTGTTGTTTAACACCAGTCAATGTTCTTGATGGGCTTCAGTTATCCCTGAATTGTTTACAACTACTAGAGTTGGACCACTGCATCAACAAATGTTTTGAAACTCCACTACATTAAACCATATTAAACCAAACAAGCACACTCACCATCTTGACATTACAAGAAGCAGAAATGAGTCACTACCTGCTACAGTGGTATTTATCAGCCCAGCCTGGTGCAGGAAATCACACATAGTGATGCTGCACAGTGATGCTGACAAAATGTTGAGCAGTTGTGCTTATTTTATAGACTCTTATTTTGCTCATGAGCCATAGATCTAATTTCATTGTTCATGCTTGCTCCCTCTTTGACACAAACTGTGTATCGACTTCTTAAGTGGCCACAAAGCAAGGGATGGTCTCCTACAAAGCAGCAGAAACCGCACACAGCAATGACTAGTAGAATTCCTGAATTCAACATCCAATTCTTAGCTTGACCGAACCTGAGCTGCATATACTGTATAACAGGCAATGTGTACAGCCCTACATATTCTAAAGGAGCAATGGCTACATCACACATAGCCAAAGAAATATCACCAAACCATAAAAAAAAAACATGCTTCCTTTTAGGGTAACACTTAGGCAGTATGTGATAGACTCCCCAGGCAATCGTGAAAGGATAATGTTCTATTTAAAATGGTCTTTTCCTAGGTTTGGTGCAGAGGAAGAAAAATACTGTTAGCCAGGGAGCAGGTGCTTAAGTGGAAGATCTAAAATAGGACTGAATGTGCCCTTCTGGCAATAAATAAATGAAGCTTTTCATGGTGTTTTGGAACGCTGCGTGCTGACTGAGTGCAACATTTTTTTGCGTGAAGAGACTCTCTAAAGCCATTAATTGGTCTTTTCACATGAATGAAACCACTACAATTCTGAGCACATTCAACAGTCATTGTAAGCCGTCTGAATCCCCTTGCAAAGTTTTGCCCCATTTTTATGAACATGCCATAGAAGAAATTTGCACCACAAGTGAACATTTTGTGGTTAAAAAAACCCTTATAATAATTCATAATAATTAGGAATTAAAAATGCAACTGGTTCCAAGAATCACATGTCGTATTTTTAATGCTTCTCATTATGCACACTCTTTTAAAATCCTTCCCTTTGCAGACTTCGAAATTATCCATAGACGGGAGCAACTGCCAATGATTTATTTGTATTACATTGTTGCTCTTTACATGACAGGGATAGCAATGTATTTATTGATCTCCAGGATTTGGAGCTACATCACAGGTCAGTAACCTACAGCACGGGTGCCATTTTTGCCATGCCAAGCCATTTTTAACAGCACGTGCTATAAAAAGTCTAATAAGCCACAAAGAAAAAAGGTGAAAAAACTGTAAAAAACTGAGCTTGATGGCTTGACAAAGCGTCTACCCAATGAAAAACCCTTTGGCATAGAAAAAAACAATCCAGTCGGTTTATTTACTGCATTATTTTTAGCGGGGATAACCTGTCTTTTTCACAGGAGGGCTCGCTACCTGTGCCACTGATTTTTCATTTTTCACACTTAAGTGTAAAGTCAAACTTTTTGGACAAAATGGCGGCTGCAAAGAAAGAAACATTAGATGTTTGCCCATTTCAGCCCTTTATGTTCAAGATAAAGATTATGCTGTTACAATAAGATCACTTTATTGGCCATACACACTTTCTTGCATTAGGAATTTGTCTTTTCGCAGGCCCCAGCTTGCTCTCCATGAGACACACAGGGAGAGAGAAGCTTGGGGTCAGAGCGCAGGGTCAGCAAAAACTAATAACATTTTTAAGTTACTGAATTATTCAATTAGGTAGGAATGCTCAAGCAAATTGTCTAAGAAGAAAGCTGCTATTACAGTTTCTTGTTAATTTGAAGTCTAGTATGCTGATGCCTGCTCTTTTTTTATTTATAAAGTGTACAGTATGTGAAATATGTTCATATACCTTATCTTTTCACAGAAACATCACAGTATTTTTTTATGAAATAACATAGCTCAGCTGAATAGCAAAAATGTTATTAATATGTATTTAAAGATTCGCAGGCCTTGCTTGACATTAAAAGATGCTCGCTAGAATGTATTATATTCACTAATTAGTGTGGCTTCCAATCACAAAGACTCTCAGCATGATTACGAACAAGATCAAATTTGAATTGAATTGACATAACCTTGCTTTCAAAATTGCTTCCATTAAAAAAAACTATATATAACCATACACAAAAAGACAACATGTGGGTCTAATGGATTTATTCTTGCTCTCAACGTAAAACTTTGCAAATATTGTAAATTACCCTGGATAAGGACATGTACTAAAGAAACAAGAACGATAATATTTTTAAACATGGATATCAAACAAAATCAAAGACAATATTTTTTAAAATACATAGAAAAATCATGGCAATCTTCCAGTCTGAAGTGCACACACACTATCAAAATTAAGATAATATCATCAGGAATGACCTCAGTGAACATTAACACCATTCCGAAATGGTTGACGCTCAGACCTGATCAGCCTTTGGAGAGATTGCTGTGGGGTGTTATAATGTATAACTAAGCAGTGAGGTGTCTCTCAATTTGAAACAAACATTCTTGTGATCAAGATTCCTGCCTTCCTCATCACATTTCCACTTATTGTCCTGAACAGTATAACAGTCAGCACACTTTTCACCATAAACAATGGTTTATATCAGATCTGTCTGGAGCAATACTGCGTTCAATAGTGAACAAAAAACTCTACCATTCTCTCTGTTGTCATGTTGCCAGATCAGATATTCTCTGGCCCATAGTGATTTCATGTCCCAGCTCTCAATATAGTACCACTGAATACCCCTGAACACGTCATTGAAAACTTTCATAAACATATACAGTATATTTCTTATATATTTCATTGCGAAAAGATTTCTTACCTGATGGTTTGAAGGCTGTCAGCTGAACTCCCTAGATGAAGGAAGGATAAAATTAGTTGATACCTTATATAATGTTAAGACAGGTGAATCTAATCTTAGCACAATTGGTAAATATCAGCTCGGTAAGCCTTCGCTTTAATCTTGATCCTAAATTTCTTGTATGTCTTCTTGTATATTTTTGTTTTGTTTGAATCTCTTTGAGATCACTTTATGGGGGTTAGGTGGCGGGTAGAGAGTCACTTACTGTTTCTTAAACACCACTTGCCACATCGACCTGAGTTTTCTTTCCTTTAGGAGTTTCAATGCCTAAATACGTTCGTTGGAGGCATGTTTGGTCAGTTTATTGAATTAACACTGTATGCTTTTACTGTAACTCACAGAGAGACATGCATGTGATCAAATCATGAATGTCATGTATCACACCCCTCTCGTGTCATGTTTAACGTGCACTGGTCATGTACTGTACACTGTAAGAGTAAAATACTTCTGCTAGTCATGTAAATGGATTGTTAAGAATAAAATACTCAACAAACGGTAATGTATGGCAATATACAACAACAAAAAACAATAATAATGTTGAGAAATAAATATAATAATAACCTTTGTTTATTTCAACAAACCTTGTCTAAAACAGAACAATGCAAAACAGAGACACAAGTTCATTTCAGTAAAATGTAGTTGTTCTTTTCCTTCAAAACTGATTTTCACATCTTTTCTTTCTAGCTCTGTCAAGATTTTAGAGAGAACACTGATTTCCTGAGGCTTTTATTGTAGTATAATTGCTGCCTACATTTGCCTAGATGAAGACCCTTTTAATTTGTAAAACATCACAGTTGGTTAAAAGTGTGGGTTATTTACTGTATGTAAGCAGTTTTACAGACCTGGGCAACGTGTCAGATCTTACTTGTGTCATACACAAACTGCTTGGTTACACTTGGAGATGTAATAAAAACCAGATTGAGTATCACAATCCTCACCAAGAGAAGGGTCACTTGAAATTCCTCCTAATTCATCATCCACCCATTTCAGCTTTTTGGCTAAGCAGATCAAACCAGAATTTTCAACGGCTCTTTCTGTAACTTCAGCTACGTTTTAAAAACATACAGGAGCTCACTCACCAAAAGAAAACTCCCCACAGCCTTTGAAAATTTAGCCTTACTTAAACTTACAAAGCTGGTAAGACCTTGGTTAAAAATGATTTAGTTGTTTAGTACTTCAGTTGGAAAGGAAGAACTCATTAAGGGTTAAAAACAAGTGGTAAAAGATTTCCTCCTACTAGCATGAACTTCAGCTAGAGAACCTAGTACAAACTACATTTTAAAGGAAAGTGTCCAAGGTTTTTTGGGTGGGGGTGTGTGGGGGGGGCAGGAGGAGAAAGCATGTTCAAAAATTTCTTTGGATTTCGCGTTTTCCAGATATTTGAAATGCCATCCGCCGTTAAATACGGTGAAGGTTTCGCAATTTTGAATGCTAGCCAGGAACAAACATAACAACAAATATTCATGTAAAGAAACATAAACAAATATGTCAATGAGGGAAAGGAAACATGTCAGAGCCTCTGAGCGAATACCAAATCTGTGACTCTTTGCCAGAAGTCTTCACCACCTTTCAGGCACACTAACGTTCAAAACAGAAGAATGATTTACAAAAACATTTCAATTATTCTTATTGAAATTATTTGTCACAATGGCTTTATTCAATACATCATATCAACTGCATTGAGGGGATCTAAACAAAATAAACATTTAAGCAAAAGAGAGTCTAATCAGATGGATGCATTTATTTTCCCCGAATTATTCTATTCCTCATTGGTTTTCCAAAGTGTTTAAATCAGCAATGATGAAAGTTCTGTCTGCAAATCTGTAAAACTGATATAGTGGCTTGTCAGGTGTGTAGAGATGCAATTTTGTGTAATTGTAGTCAATAATCAGTTAGTATTATTGTGCTCCACTACACAGTATATTATATGGGTTTGTGTGTTTTATTCTTAAGAGCTCAACCTACTTTACAAATGGCAACAGCCTACTGAGCTTCATAAAGATAACCTGCCATGGAGGGACAAGCTGTGAGTTATATTTCTGTGATCGTCCTACTGCCCCCACTAAAAACTGCCACTTTTCAACAACAAGAAATGGATTCACCTGTGGGCGATAGTGGTTTTATGAACTCCAGTGGAGTAGAATGACAAGAACTCGGGTGAGTGCCTATGATCAACACTTCTAAAAACATCCTAAGCACAAAGAGGGGCCTCAGATGGCAAGGTGAATCTTCAAACTGCTTCTTTCAGAGTGCAGAGGATAAGAACATCTTTGTCACTTAAATTTATTGTCGTTTTAAGTTTTTTCCACTCGTGTCGCTGATATGAGCTAAGCAATCAGAGAAGCAAGGCAGTGAAACCTGCTGTGTGAAAGCCTGATTGGGCTCTCAGCTGGAGGCTTGTGGCACCTTCTAATGACCAGTACACAGCTTTCACATCTCAGTTAAGAGGCCCCAGCTTTATTGGAGCCCTTTGCCAGCTCCACAGATTACTTTTTTACACGGCGCCTCGTTAACTTTAATAGTTGATTATCTCAGCCTCCGCACACAGGACACACTGAGAGCCAACGCTGTCATTAGCCTTTTTATTCTGTCTGTTGAAAACACACAGGCCCCGAGTTGTTTTGGATGATCCCCGCGGAACTTGAAATCCCCAAACGAATTTGTTTACCGGAAAAGAAGGGAAATAAAACATTGATATAACCCCAAAGCTCTAAGACAAATTGTTTTGTTCTGTGGATTTGCATGCTTACAACATTTCTCTCAAAGATATTAAGATTTACAATGCTTTATTTTAGTAACATGTAAGCATATAGTGTCTGATGTAGAAGCAGCAGCTGATCATGGTCTTTGCTTTATGTTACTGAGCAAGACGTGTGGATAAGGGTTCCTGCACAGAGTTTGTGCTAGCAGCCATATCACCCAGCAACTCACAACTAGCAAGTCAGTACCTGGATGGGAGACCTCCTGGGAAAAACTGAGGTTGCTGCTGGAAGAGGTGTTATCGGGGCCAGCAGGGGGTGCTCTCCCTGTGGTCTATGTGGGTCCTAACGCTCCAGTACAGTGACAGGGACTTTGGATGAAATGTAAAACCGAGGTCTGTGGTTATTAAAAATACCAGGCCATTTCTCGAAAAGAGTGGGGGTGTTACCCCGGTGTCCTGGCCAAATTTCCCATTGGCCCTTAACAATCAAGGCCTCCTAATAATCCCCATCTCTAAACTGACTTCATCACTCTGTTCTCCTCCACACTGTTAGCTGGTGTGTGGTGAGCATATTGGTGCACTATGGCTGTTGTCGCATCATCCAGGTGGGGCTGCACACTGGTGGCGGTGGAGGGGAGTCCCTATTACCTGTAGAGCACTTTGAGTGGAGTTTCTAGAAAAGTAGCTATAGAAGTGTAAGGAATTATTATTAATTATTATTATTTTCTTGTTTTTAATATCTTTATATCCTCTTGTTTTCTAATATAAGTACTGAAAGGAGAAATTTCATGTACTTCTCCAGGGTAGTCACAATGCGCCTTGCTAAACTAGCGACCTAGCATCTAAAACGCCACCTGGAACAGTGTGCAATTTGATAATGCTTTCATATCAACCAACTGTATTACTTGGATTAAGGTAAATCTGCTGTTCGGTGCCCTCTTTATATCAAATGTAAAATGTTTATTTTTCAGTTAATCTGCTTTTACCTTTTCATTTAGAAAAACACTCAGGCTGGGCAGGCAGGGAGATACTATCCTTGCTTTCCACCTGGCTCTGGACTTGCACGAGCCAATACTGCAACGCCCTGCGTTTTGTTTCCCACGACAACCAGGTGTTTCTGAAATGATGGATGTTGCTGTTTACTTATCAGAAAATGGCTGAAGGTCACGGAGAGGAAGAGAGGAAGTCAAACTAGAAACACAAGTTAATGAAAGGGAAAATACTGTTTTCACAGCACCTGTGTTCATTAAAAAGTTCTAAGAAAGCACAAGAAGCGTTTCTTCCATTGATGAGAGTGGTGGTTTTTTTTAGGCAAACTGTTTCTCAACATTTCTCATATTAAAGATATATTTCAGACATCACATACAGGATCGTGTACGTTAATGTACAGTATTGCTGTAGCAAGTGACAGATTTTGAGCCATATTTGTTGTGCAAGGTGTAATGAAGTGTTGAAGGATTCTGTCTGATCTGCCAGCTGGGAGTTATCTACATTTGTCTAGTGGGCTGGGAGTGTCGGTGGAGCCCCATCACAATGTAACTTGGGGTCTGCCAAAGTAGCAATATGTATGTCTACACTTGTTATGTTCCTGTACCATCTGTATCTAGAATTAATAGTGAGGTCAAAGCTGCAAGTTGTAAAAAAGGATTTAAGTACAGTATGTGTTAAACAAGCTGTATTCCTGACATAAGCCAGTGTTTTTCTCTTTACAATTTAGTAACGCGTACTAAACCACTGCAGTAACTGTTGCAGTGGGGCGGTGAGGTGGCTCAGTGGCCGAGGAATCCTACTCCGTTGGGCCCCTGAGCCAGGCCCCTAACCCGAACTGCTCTGGGGGCGCCGTATAAATGTCTGAGCCTGCGCTCTGACCCCCAGCTTCTCTCCCTGTCTGTGTGTCTCACGGAGAGCAAGCTGGGGTCTGCGAAAAGACAAATTCCTGATACAAGAAATTGTATAGGGCCAATAAAGTGATCTCTTCACTTCTTCTTCCCAGTAATGCTGTGTGTGCTGTTGTAACTTTCTGCATGTCTAATGGACAACACTGAATTGCTCTTGCTGTAACTAGATGTTGCTGTCAGATTAAGTTTCTCATCGTTTAATGAGGTGGCCAAACCTGAAGAGAACACAATATGGTCTAGAACTAAAAACAAGCAACAACTTCAGGACAGACACACCAGCTTGTGGCAGGCCAGCTGTCGAAGAAGGTTGTAATGGCAGCTGATATACTACTAGAGGTCACTACTAGAGGTCGCTGCATGGTCCATGTATTGCTCATAAAGAGCTACACTAGAGAAGAAGTGATAATATAACAGTTCATTGGTTAAGGGGTTGGGAAAGCACATTCTCACATGGGCGTAATTAAGTCTTGGCTTGGTTTAAAGGGTGAGCTTTTTGCTATAGGTGGTGGGTGTCTTTTTTTAAGTGGTCTTACTTATTTTATAGCCTGATCAGGAAGAAAATTAAACTCCCTGGATTATATATCTGGCTGCCTTCATGGTTTTAACACTCTTACTGTACAGAGCATTGCCTATTCCATCAGTACTGACTACAAGTGGCAGTCTGTGACAGAGGCACCACACTTTATTTTAAAGACATTTCCAAATGTTCAACCTTCAACACAAGTGAAGGGTCAAATCTCATTTAAAATGGAAAATCCTCTTACCAATTTCCTCTAAGAAGAAAGTCCCTGCTTTTCATTTCTTCCACTTCATACAGGGTTAACAGACTTAATAAAAGCCTCAATAAAAGCAGCCTAAATGCTTTCTGGAGAAACGTACTGTATAGCTCATTTATAGCTTATTTAGGATATTCCTTTAATGATACAAAGTTCTTCCCATTCTTTTGAAAATATGAAATACAGATTTCTGTTTGAATTTCAAATAGGCTAATTGTTTATCCAGGTGGTAGCCAAAGGGTTACAGGTTGCCAATGCTGAGTGCAGTGAATAAGTCAATATTATATACTATACAACTGGAAAACCACAGAACTTGGTTCCAAGAACCAAGTAGGTGCCAATAACAATGTCCTGAGCCATTTGAACAATACAGCTGATTTTTAGAGCCATTCAGACTGGATTCAAAGTACAGATAGCTTGCTTGACATTCTTCACTTTGCTTCTGCCTTTAGTGTGCACAGATAGGATTTTTTTAATTGAGTTTTGAGAACAGTACAGAGTTTCTAGCTTTGTGCAGTCAAAAAATTATCAAATGTCATTAAGAATGTTATAGAGAAAAGGTGTTTCCACGTACCTGATTCCCTGATGCTGGTTTCAGGGAAAAGCTCACAAAGCTATCTTTTCCAAAACTCTCTGAAATGCAAATTAAAACTACAGTTAGGCTTTTAGCAAAATAACGCTACTGTCAATCCTCTAGCTACATTCAGGAAATATCTGTCTCAGCGCATGCGGGAATCATGAAATGCAACATACATACTGTAAAAGTTTGCTTTTATTATTGTCTGAAAAGAGGCCAAAATAAAATTGCCTTGAATTGCCATCATGGAAACATGAAGGTTAGAAATGAGAAGCCCAGTGCTCTTGGTAAGCATCATACAAAGGGGCAAAGGAACAGGTAAAGGTTTATTCCATGCTGAAAAGAAAAGAGATACCCATTCTTCGGGTGTGAAGAAGAACACCTGACAAAGGCTTTGAAGAAATGGTGTGTCTTTCTTTTCCTTTCAGCAGGGAATAAACCTTTACCTGTTCCTTTGCAGCCTACGCATGCTGACACAGCTTCCTGCTTGAACATCAAATAAAGGAGGATTATTCCATGCCGAGAAGAGAAGAAAGGAAACACAACGTTTCAGCTGTGAAGGCTTCTTCGGGTGTGAGGTATTATATCATATCATACTATATCATAACCTAGGAGCTTAAACAGGATTTCATAGATTGTTCCAGGCTTCAACTGCAAGTCATGCCCAGTGTAATATGCATACCAAAACCTTAAAAGTGATAATCATTATTGGTCTTTGTGTTATTGCTAATAGCTTACTTTTTTCTTCTTTCCTAGGAGGCTTAAACCTTGAGATTAAAAAAAAAGTTGCAAAATCTTTTGGGTTTTTATTATTTTATGACTTTGGGTTTTGTCATTTATCATTACAGAATTGCAGGCGTTTAACGATCGCCATTTGACTCACCATTTTGAATGACAAGAGATTTCTTTGTGGAACCCGTCTGACCTGCCGAAGACTCGCTGTTCTCAGAAGCTGAAGGATGAGGTTTTGAATTATCCCAAGAGCCTGTGGCCCTCTGGGAAGTTAGGAAACTTATTGGCTGGGAGCAATTCTACAAATTCGAAAAGCAGAGATAATGAGGGATACTTGATGAAAACAATCAAGCAGCTCGAGCCCTGCAGTCGTTAATCACACTGTCACGTTTAACTGCTGCTGTTGAAATCAGGAAATGGTAACCACTAGTGCTAGTGCATAAAATTGAATACAGTGTGCACACGACATTTTTAGGGAGCTTTTTGTTCACAGTGAAGACAGTGTTATTTCACAAAATGCTGTTTATTGTCTAAGAATATTACAGAAACTCTTAGAAACACCAAATAAAAAAAAAATTAAACTTGCACTTACTGTAAAAGAGAGTGCCTTTTTCTTTTCCTTCATTCTTCTTATGGCATTTCTCACCTGCTCGTATAAAATGTGAAAATGAGAAAAATGAAAAAAATGTTCAACACTGACCATTTTGTAACAATGCACATTAAATCACATGAGTAAAACTAACCAAATGGGCCTTCATTTTGATTCCTAGTTCTACGTTGCCAGACCAGAGCTCCTGTACATGCAGTTCTGTTCTATTCTGTTGCGTTTAATTCTTCATTTTTTCAAATTATAGGTGATACACCAGAAAAAGGAAGACAGGACTGATTCTCTCCCTGTTCTAGTCCAAACTACTTGTCTTAAATTGTTGTCCAAGGCTTAATGGAGTAAATGAAAGCAGCTCCACTTAAACTTCATCAGTACAATCACTGACAGCTTCTGTCTTTCAGGACATCTACTGTCTTACAAGGAGGATTAAAACAGCAATTCTGAGAATATTAGCAATTATTCACTAAGGTATATACAATTAATGCCATCATAAAGAAATCAATTTAACACTTAACACTTTTTGAAGATTCTATCAAAGATATAAATAAATGTTCACAATGTTGCATGTTTTAGATCACATCAGCACATGCAATGACTAACTATGAAGGTATATAATGTGATTTAGATTTCAATTTATATCAATAAAAATCATTCAGAAATTGAGCAAACATACAAGCACATTCATTTTAAGTGATACCAAGGCTTGACATGGAACGGTTAGGAAACATTCTGATTTCTGATGTAATTATACATAAGTATAATTGTTGGGAAACAGCACACACATACGGTAGAGGCAGGTCAGAGATCATACATCTTATTATTTAGAAATATGAGCTGACAACAACATCAATTATCGAAGCTTTATTTCCAAACTTCTTTTAAATATACTAAGATTGCACAGACAATTTTCCTTGAGATTCACTATAATAGTTTTATGAATACTGTATTATTCTGTTTACAGATCTCCCCAGAAAGGAAAATGTACAGTATTATATTGTAACCTTGACATTTTACTTCTTTTTACTTTTAGTGACACAAAATTGCTTATGTACATGTTGTCAGAGTATTTTATTTCCTTAAAACATACATAAGCTATCATCTAATGTGGTTCATAGTGAACAGGGCAAGTTAAGTCTAAATCTTTTCTTTACAACATAATGAAATCTAACCAGAGTAAGGTGAAAATTGATTATCTTAGTCCATTATCAGAGTTTTATGACTACAGTAATGAGCATCTTAACTTGTAGTCATAAATTATTTTAAAATTAATCAGTTTATAGAAAACTAGCTGTTTCGTCTTTCTTCAACAACCCCCTTCTTACTCTACGTGTTTTTCATGAGTACTGTTGTCTAGAGCTCCTTATCTGTTTATCGGTGTCGATAGTTTAAACATATACCCCACAGGAACCTTAAATACTGTACAACTGCGCATGAACTAGAGTAAAACTACAGTGAAATATAACTTTCCCTTATACCAATTAAAATACTTGTTTTTGTATTTCTCTCAATATATATGATTCATGTTACTGGCATTACATTTAAAGAGCTCTTAAAATAAATTCACAGGCTAACGTAGTCATACAGAATGACACAAAACCTTATAATCAGAACATCCAGTATCTCAACAAGGATTATAACATCTCCTTCAGCGTATTCACTTAGGTTAAGATAACCTGATAAGGCAGGCATGATTTTAAAACCATTCTGTTTTTAAATAGCCTTTACTGATTCCATTTTGCCACAGCGGGACAGTAATTTAACCCTAAAAGTAATACATTAATGTTAATTAATTTAAGTGTAAAAAATGTGTGTTTTTAAATACAGTTTAAACTGAAGAAAACAGTAGTTTTTTTAAAGAAATGGTTTAGTTACTCAGCAAAACATGAAATCCTAAAAAACCCTCAGTCAGTATCCCCACTTAAAACTGTTTTTACATGCTTTTCATTTAAGGAGTAATATTCTCTGCTGTGTTCCTTAAAAAAAATGAAAAGGCAATTATTTTTGCGATTCGATTTTCACTGACTAATGATCAGGCTGGTGCTGGGATTCTGACCCATGTACAATCACAGCAGGGATGATAACTGTCAAGATTTTCGTTTGATATTGTACTGTACTGTACGTGCGATGTCAAAGCCCTTTTCACACTATGAATCTCATGTGTTCTAACAAGAATTTCAACGATTGCCTGCATTTGAATAGTTCTTTTTATCCCATCCCAGAGCTCTTCAACCTGCTTCTTCCACAGCTGAAGTGCCATCCTCTGAGTGGTGTGCAACAGCCATTAAGTGCCCAGGGTACATCAGGTGGCAAAGTGAGAAGATTGCTTCACCAATTGAACGAAGGGGAAAACTTATTCAATCCAAGAGAACGCCCCCCTACTATTATGAACAGCTCCAGGGCAGCAGCAGCTGATAATAGTTTTAGGGTCTTTTCTAAAGGATGTACTCTTACCACATGTCAAATACACCTTCAGCATTCCAGCAGCACTAACACCCAGGACACAGCAGGACTAACAATTACCACAGAATTAATTTACAGATCATAAAGAATAATAATCACCTCCCAAGAGGGATGTGTATAATGCAAATGGCATTTGTTGAATGGTGAATGGCAGATGCTGAATTTATAATGTGTCTCAGCTCAATGAGAGAATAAGCAGTTCTAGGCACTGTTTATAAATTCATATGGCATATACAGTACTGTACACTGTACGGAGAGGCAATTAAAAACAACAATTGCTATAGGCAGAAAAAGAATTTGTGAGGCTTTTAGCATTGAAAGTCATTGTTTGAAGGTATCCACATACAAACGTCTGAACATTTTGAAAAACGGGTGTACGAGTTAGCACAACAATCAGTCCTCACTGTAGAGTGGCAGTGAGAATAGAAGTCAGTGCTGCTCCTGTTTAATAGTCACAGCTACCAAAGCCTAAAGCATATTTTGAAATCTGGGTGTTGTAACTTATGATGACGGATCTCAACCTTGGATATTTTGAGCGCTGGGCCCGATCAACACTATAATGGTAGCCTTTATCAACAGAGCTGCTCAAAGGTCTCTTCAGTGGTCTACAAAAGATCCATTTCTTTGACGAACTCCTTTTCTTCTTGTACACAACTGACCGATCTCTTGTTTTTCTTCACAGTATGCTCAAGGCATCGGGTTCTTACCCAAAACTGAAGCTCCACTTATTTTCCCTCTCAGTAGTTTGGTTTTTGAATGAGAGATTTGAATGTCATTCAGCTACAAGAGGTCTCCTGCAGGACGGAAGAGGGAAGAGAAGAAATAAAGAGCAGTGCGAAACTTACCTCACTGTTATACACTGCATATACCAGGAATATGTACAGACCCTGAAAAAGAAAACACACAAATGAAAGCATTATAATTCCTTCGATTTCAAAAGAAGAATTGTCAAAATCTGCAGTTGTGAGCTGTTGTCACTTTTGTATGCGTTATTTATACTCAAAATAATAGATTAATGAACAGTGGTAAGTTGTCCTTACAATGTGAATCTCTTCTTACAGTAAGTCTCTTCTATCATTTGTACACTTTAGCAAAGTGCCCTCTACATTGAATTTAAATGTATACTTGTATGCTATCACAAATCTCCAATCACACCCATAGTGTTGTAAGTGAAATTCTGAAAACGCCTACTTTTAGAAAAAATGTTATAAATAACCTTTTGGTTAATCATGTTATACTATATATGGATTTTTACTTTACATTAATCATTTTAATACAATTTTAAACCTTTTTTCAGTGCTAGTATTAGGAGACCAGGCCTAAAAGTTGCTTTCCAAGCGTTACAATAAACGTGGACATCTGCATTTTAGAGGTACAGAAAGATCAATTGTGTTTAGTTTTCCTGTGCTATACATGCTGTAATAATCAGAGGATAATGACAGTTCTTTTTGTTGGTATGAAAGGGGCACCTCTGGTTACTCTGGAGTTTTGTGTTCCTACAATCGTTCTTTAGCGAAGAAACCGAATGTTCTGGGATTGTTTATATGAAATGTTTCTGCCCTCTAGTGTCCATTCCTGTGGGTCTGAAAAGTCCCCAACGATGCTTCTGTGGTTATTTATGCCTTTATAACATATTCAATACCTTAATAAACTTCTTATTTTACTTTTTTACTCTTACCCATCTCATGTCTTAAAATATTGAGCTATATTGTGCATAATGGCAAAATAAATAATTGCTTATTCCATTTCAGCGAAAGCAAGATTTGTGACAATACGTTATACCGTATGTGTAGAGGGGATGGCAAATAGAATTAAAGACTACAAGCTCTTGATTGACTTAGGCATTTCAAATCTATGCTATTAATCTCATGACTAATTTATTCAAATACCAGTTTTCTAGAAGCATCTCAAAAATGTTAAGGTAACACTTTATCAGGAATAAACAATTCAGGCAGTATTCAGTGTGAATTTGTGTTGTTAGTAACCATCATGTGCTCATGATCAATTGCTTCTGAAATATTATCAAAAATCAAAGCAAAAACCTAAGACATTCAGGCAATTTTCCTGTGCAATTCGGCCAGAGTTCATTAGGAAGTCATTAATGTTACTTTGAAGTTTAGAATGTAATTTTATCACGGAATGCACTCTTTTATCTCTGTTGTTTTATTATGCATTAATTTATCTTGCTTGCTTTTAGTATTTTGTTTTATAATATTAGAATGCAAATCATGGACACTGCTATTGTACCCACAAGCAAGGTAATTCATTTAAATTAAATATCCTTTAAATTAAATGTCAATGAAATGAAGTCATTATAAATGAGAATGTGTTATTAATACATTAAATAAAGCATAAAAGAATACACTGCTATGTGGTCTTACAAATTAATAAGTGTTAACCCTGGTGAACTGTGTAAATAATAAATCCTTACAAAATGAACATAAATGTACAGTAATGTGAATCTAGCAAACCAACTCTTCTTAAGCAGCAGTTTAGCAGGAAATGCCTTCAAAAATGTTCTGAAAAGACACTTCCATATTTGCAATTTAATTCAATTAAATTGCAATATTGGGTTTAGTGCCAACTGTTTTTTGATATGTCATAAAGCCATCTCCATATATTTATTAAATTTTTAATTCTGTGTTAGGCTCTCCCTTTTCTGAAACGTTTTGTCACCTTTACTGGGTTTTGATTTCTCCAATGATATACAAACATACCAGAACAACTGTCTCAGTGACTGCAGTGGAGAGCTTGACCTTCAGCACTTACTCACTAATGATTCACATTTCTGATTCAAAGCCTCTCTTGAAACAGATGTTAAAATAATACCTCTAGTTTAATGTTCTGTGGTGTAACTGGGTTAGAACCACACAACGTCACGGTGGCTTTCATACGTTGAAAGTTCATGATGTGCCAACACAGTGCCAACATGAGGAAATAAACTGAACCTAAATATCACTGAGTGGCCAGACAAAATCAGATCTGTGGAATTCATTCATTCAAGTATACGAAGAACGAACTGCCATAGGTTCTGATGACCACAAAGTAGTGGAAGTCAAACCACAGAAGGACCTGTCTGGCCTTTGTCTGTGGTTACTATAGCCTATGCCTCTTTTTCTGTCATTAGACCTCTGAAGCTGGATAGGCCTCTATGACCTATGATTATAGTCTATGGTTATTTTTGAGGTCAAATGGAATTTGGAGACAGTAGCCAAATGCAGTACTGGCGCTGGGAGTTTTGGAAATTCACAGCCTGCCTCCATTAAGTTTAAGCAACACAACACAAAACTGGCGGCCCACTGAAGCTCAGCAGGTGTGAGCCTGGCCAATACCTGGATGGGAGACATCCTGGGAATGTTTAGGTTGCTGCCAGAGTACCGGGACCTAATGCCCCAGTATAGTAACATTATAGAGATAAAGGAACCATCCATCAGATGAGACGTAAAACTGAGATCCTGACTCTATGTGGTCATTAAGAATCCCAGGGCATTTCTCGAAAAGAGTAGGGCTGTTACTTTCATTTCCCCTTGGCCTTTACCAATCATGGCCTCCTAATAATCCCCATCTGTGAACTGGCTTCATTACTCTGCTCTCCTCCCCACTGAGAGCTGGTGTGTGAGGAGAGTACTGGCGCACTATGGCTGCTGTCCCATCATTCAGGTGGGGTTGCACACTGGTGGGGTGGGGGGGAGTCTCCATTACCTGTAAAGCACTTTGAGTGGAGTGTCTAGAAATATAGGTGTGAGGGATTATTATTATTACATTTAATTTGGGATCTGAATGAGGAGAAAAGGTTCAAAGTCCCCCTGAGACTCTGAGCCTCTGCCATTTACAGTGATGGGAAAAAGGCAGAGAATCGGATGCCGCAGGACAACCTGGACAGGTTTGTACAGTATGTTCCTTTTAATTTGTCCCTGTGTGTGTGTATGGCGTTCTGATGATGGATGGATTGAAGAATATAGCCACCATGACCACTCACTGTATCAGAACCACACACACAATAAACAGGTGGGGAAACATGACAGCAGAAGTGGAGAAAGGCTTGTAGAAAGCACAAAAGAAAGAAAAAAAAAATGTTTCAGAAAATGAGACAAGACATGATGAAAAGCCATAAAACTGACTTGGACTGATCTTTTCTAATTCTCTCCACCACTTCAAGCTTTCTCCTTGAGGCGTTAAAAAGCAGCATAATCGTTGCAAAACATTTAAACTGAATGAGTTATTTCAGTTAAGAGCAGGAGATGCAGGCGAGGAGTTAGGCGTACATAATTCCACAAAAAGTCGATGTTTTTTGAGAACCTCCACACAGTTCACATATTAGTGCTATCCCTTTATAAATGCTTCAATAGCATAGACCTTTTCAATTACCGAGCAGGAAATAAACACATATTCATTACTCTTTGATGGCATCTAAACCCTTTGCAGGATCTCTGCCATTCACTGTGTTCTATCAATCACACAGCATTCTTATCATTCGTAAAACCTTTCATGTCCTTCTGTGCATTATTTCAACAGCCGACAAACGAACACAACCTTTTGGAATAATTAAAAAAATAATTTTCGGCCAAACAATCACTCCGCTTTGGCTGATGGAGCTCACTTATATCAGTGTTCTACCTTTCTGGGCAATTCAAGTCTTATGTCTAAGGCATTATTCACAGAAATCACATAGCCACAAATAAAATTACAGTCCGGCTCGAATTCTGCATACTGCTTTCCACCTGGCAATCCAGGTTGCGATAGGCCTAGTGTTCAAAGAGGCTGCTGAACCAGGACAAAGGGAGAAAAATAATTGGGAAGGGTGACCGATTTTATTACTTAGCAACTGAAAATTAAAGAGCAAACAGAGAGGTTGTGAGAAAAATGGCACTGTTTCACCCTATGAGTGGCTCATGACAGTGGTACCATCCATCCATTTTCTAACCTGTTTATTGAGTTCAGAATAAGGCAAGCAATGGGCACAATGCAGGATATATCCCGGACTGCACACCAGAGAATGAACATTATTAAGGAACATCTGCAGGGCGTGCAGTTCCATCAAGCATCCCCTCAATGTACCACAAGAATGTGTCGTGTTGCATCCCAGATTCTAGGAAAGGATATTCTGGCAGCTTGTATGAGGAAAAATGCATGCTGCTACTTTCCCATCACAAAAGCACTTTCACATCTTAATGTAATTTTTCAGAAAAGGCAGATGAAGGGATTTCCTTATAGCACGAGTCTTTATATAAACATCCCTTCCACTGTACCCTTTCCTATTTTCAGATGTGTGCCATAAATCTGAATTAACAAGCACCTTTTGGAGGGTCAATCAGAGGCCAAATGATTCGGATTAATTAAAGGCCTCCAGACTTCAGCTCCAAACAAATGTGAGAGGAAATCCTGTCAGACAAGTCTGATTTACACCCTATCTGGACGGCACTATCAGAGCAAGATAAGACACTTGCAGTAGAGAGCCATACATCTTGAGCTGAATAAGTACCTCTCTTAATCAGAACATTTTTGGCAAGTGGACTGGCAGAGACACTTTGGAAGTCTTCCATGACCTGTCCTTCAAAGACAAACACTGGAGACTCCTACACACCACATTTCTGGTCTCATTTCCTCTTATTTAAGCCCTCTCATGTATATCTTCCATCCCTATTGCAAGATGTCCCATCCCCGCCACAGAGGGAAATCCAGTAGCAAAGTAGCAAAGTATTTTTGTATTTGGAAAATAAGAAAAGGAATCACACACCAATGGTTTCTCAAGACCTGGGTGTATCAATTTTATGCTGTTATTAAACGTTCTTTTTAAAGCAACCTAAGAAATAAAAATACTTGTAACCAGTCCTTTACAGAAGACTGTTAATTTTATAGGTGATGTAAGTCTAAGTGGTTTCAGAAAGTATACTTTCTTCATTCAAAATTTACTTTGTGGCCTTGATCTACACATTTTAAAAATATCCATGCGATTCTGCTCAGTTTTTTTTTGTTATTTTAGCATGCAACCAATAATTTCTGCTCAAATTCCTTTATTGAAAAATCAAATCAAATAGATGCCTTATAAATTAGAGAACATTCATTTATGTTTTTCCATTAATATTACCTCAATTTTGAATTTAGCCAATTTCTTTTTCTAATTCATTACCCTGAATGTCTGAAACTTTTACTATATTGGGATCAGACAAGACAAAGAGATTGATTGATTCATTACTTATCTCCTCTTTTAAAAAAGCTATGCAGCGATATTTTAAAGACGTTCCTCCAAACTTTAACATGGTAGAGTCCATCCACAACTAGAGATCCTGACCATACAATATCATGTTCTGTCCTGATACTTCAGATGCTTTTTTTAAACATCCTAATTTTCAGTTGCGATGACACAGAAATTGCGGTATCGCATTGCGGGTTTATCACTGAAGCAGGAGATTCAATCCAACTTTGACTAGTCCTCATGTTTCGGTATATTGTTTCATTCTGAAAGCACTTCTTGTGTAGCAGACTTGTAGGATTTATGACACACAAATGCTTCCGTGCTTTACTGATTACAGAAACCAGTGGGAGGAAACCAGAGCACCTGGAGCAAACCCACACAAACACAGGGAGAGCATGCAGGAACATATTCACACAGACAGCACTGCAGGTCCAGAACTGAACCCAGGACCCCAGCACTGCTGACCACTGCGCCACTGTGCTGCTCTTTTCACATCCATTTAAAGCTTTATTTTCTCAAAAAGTCACCTCTCTTCATTCTTCTGGGCATTTTGCTTGCAAAGCAGCTGTAGAGGCTATTCTTGACATTAAACTGTATTTTAAGGGGTCGAAATGATACCCACTGTGCTGTATCCCACCCTGACCCGACGATTGAGTAAGAGAACTAATCTCTGAATGAGAATTAATCGCTTTCGCTTCTACTCCTGCCAACCTGCTAACTATTATTGCCAGAGAGAATACAGGTACTGTAGGTAGCCCTTAGCTCTTCTGTACATTCATAGCACCAGAGAAGCTGGATGTCGACCACTGAAGGGGAAAGGAGATATTTCTGTGCGAAGTTCTTCAAGGGGGCAGGCTTAAGCTGTAGTAAAAACCAGGCTTGCCTGAAAGGGCAGATTGTGCTGAGATACTCTTTGAAGTAATCTTTTGCATCTAGACACAAATGAGATGTCCCTGGTCTGCAAGTATACACTTCTCTGCCTGGTCCGTGCTATGAGTTGTTGACCTTTAAAGCTACTACAGTACATAAAAATAAGCGATAGGATTCTCCATCCACCCATTTTCTAACGGCTTCTTCCATTTCAGGGTGACTGGGGGGTCGGAACATGTGCCACCAAGGATACCCAAGAAGAATGCAGAATCAGAATACCCCAAGAAAACTCATGTGCCGGGGAGGGGGGACAACATACAAACTCCACACAGACAGCAGCCCAGGTCCAGAACTGATCCCAGAGCCCCGGTGCAGTGAGGCAGCAGTGTTCTCTCCTCTCCATCACCATGTTGCCAATTATTATTACTTTTCTAATTAGAGCTTTGCAGTGCCTTTATTGTTCTTTTGATTTAGTTATGTAATTGGGATGGTTCAGGAGTCACCCAGTTTGACAACCCATTCCTCAGACTTCGAGATGGGATGTTCTCAGAGCAATAACGCCATGTGCAGTATTGTGATTGTCTTTAGTCTGTGGTTAGGACTTCATATTTAATCCTAGAGTAGGTTTGTCTTTGATCACAGACTTGTCGTTTGCGATGTGCAAAGTGATCCACGCTTCATGTAAACTGTGCTCAATTCCCTTCTTGTTTTAGCTTTCTTGAGAAACACAATGCTCAGAGGGACAAAGACGAACCTTTCACTCTGAATGGAGTGGTATTCATTCTGAAAACATAACCGCATGAAGTATGTGCTCATAAAGTAAAAAAGAAATACAATGTTAGAAAATGCTGAATTTGAGAGCAGTTTTTGTTACTATAATGAATTGAAGGACAGACATCTCACTGCTGTAAAGACATAGAAAAAGCAGAAATAATGGTATTATTAAGAATATTCTTTCCATTTAATACAAAAACACTCTTGAAACCGCCATTAGTAGTTAACAGTGGAATGCAAGCCTTCACAAAAATGGAAATTAAGGGACATTTATTTTTTATAATTAACATTAACATTGCATTTCTCAAAATTTAAAAAAAAATGTTTTCTGTAGTTTCAATTTAACACAGGGCCTTGTGACGAGTCTCTTAAATTATTTTTTAAAAGATCAGTGTAAGTGAAAAGGAGTTTGAACTTTTAAATGTTAATACATTTGACATGGCCAAGCTGCAAATTGATCAATTTGTGGGATGTTGCTGTCTTTTCTTCCACTGACTGATTAGTTTTCAAATTTTCTTCAAGATGTGAAGTCTCATCCCTTTCGTTGTATTTTGCATATGAAGCTACAGTAGCCTGGCAGCACAGTGTCACAATGGTCAGGACAATCAATAGGACAATCAATAAATCAACAAATGTCTTGTTACGACATTTCTCAAGGTTTTTTCCAGCTATGGTGGCTACCACATCTCATGTTCATATAGATTTTACTGAATTATGCAATTTACAACTGTTTACAAAGACACTGAAAACATGCACTGAAATGATTCGGTCAAATAAATCTTCAACCTAGTCTAATGAATTTGTGAGTTTATTAATTAGGGCTTTGCAATTTAAAAGAGAAATGCAGGCAGAAAGGTCTCCAAAGGGCAGACAGGAACTAAAAAAATACACATTAACTCATGGAATAATGGGAACAAAGTACTGTGAGCTACATCATCTATTAAAATTCTAGTGTTAGTGCAAGGACTCTCTTAACATTCAATATATCCTTAAAAGAAAACAAAATTTTCAACCTACGGCTAACCAGTGTTTACAAATTAGAAGTAGTAGGAATGTCATCAAGTCACATACCAGCCAAAACTGTTACTTAAAAGAATGTAAAGAGCTATTATCAACATATCCTTGAGAGTGAAACTCTTTACAATACCCTTTTTTAATCCAAGTGAAAAAGAAAGAGACAAAGAGTGCAAAATCTTTAAAGACAGAAGTCTTACAAGGATGAGAGACATTATTGGAATGGGGTAAGAAAATGATTATCATCCTGTGAATAAATAATTTACACAGTTTTGTTCACATAAAAAGATAGAAAATGGAGGTTTACAGTGAAAAAATGATCCCGGTTAACTTTTATACCTTTAATCAAAGGCCAAATATATTGTGCTTTGGAGGTCAGTTTGGATGTTTTGCACGTGTTCAGATGGAACTTCATCAGGGGGTCCCATTTTCTCTACAACTTCCAAATCCATTAACTTTATTTAAAGTGAATGCGTTCCAGTATTTATGATCACATGAAATCCCTGGGTGCAGTACCTGGCTTAAATGGATGCATGGGATTACCCCAAAATAAAACTGATTTAACTGTACTTATTATTCATATTGGTCTCATGATCGGACGTACAATTTGCTTGATTGTAAAGCGAAAACAGGTGAAGTCCCACTACATTTGGACTTCACTGTGGGAAAGATGTCAAACTTTTTCTACAATTACCTGTATCAGCTTTTACCTCATTATATATGAATATATTTTCCAATATATTATTTTGAATTACGTATTCTTAATACATTTCCATATAGTTTAATAGTCTTTTTTGACATTTTGACATCACGTGTTTTGGACAGAATTCTGTCACAGGAGGGCATTTATAATATACTCTAACATTTTAAAGTTAACATTGTATTCCTTTACTGTAAATCAGGAATTTTTACAATATATTCAATCTTTTTTTTTCGAATTTGTGGTTCGCAGACTCAAAAGTACTGTACACGAAGTATATTTTAAAATATTTCTACGCTTCAAAATGAAAAAAAAAAATGATAACAAAAGGAAGACTTATACAGCAAAAGCCCAGGATAAGCTAACGATTGTTTACCTTACCTGAAAGGCATTCATTGCGATGAAAATATAGGCAAGAATCACTGAGAGATGAACCAGAATCCCACAGAGCCAGGTCAGGCCCAGCACTGGCAGAAGTATAATCACTGGCTTGGTGGCAGTCCTGCAAAATTGAAACCATCCTTCAGCTTAATCAATTAAAAAATAAATAAAATGAAAATAAAAAGGTTGCAAAGGTTCTGTTTATTCGGAGCCAGTAGCCATATCAACCCTGCAGCTCACAACTGCCAACCCTCTGAAGCTCAGCAGGTGTGAGCCTGGTCAGTAGCTGGATGGGAGACCTCCTGGGGAAAAACTATGGTTGCCGCTGGAAGAGGTGTTAGTGGGGCCAGTAGAGGGCGCTCACACTGCAGTCTGTGTGGGTCCTAATACCCCAGTATAGTGACAGGGACACTATACTGTAAAAAAGCGCCGTCCTTTGGATGAGATGTTAAACTCTCTGTGGTCATTAAATATCCCAGGGTGTTTCTCGAAAAGAGTAGGGGTGTCTTGGTCAAATTTTCCCTTGGTTTTTACCAATCATGTCTTCTTAATAAGCCCCATCTCTTAACTGGCTTCATCACTCTGCACTCCTCCCCACTGAGAGCTGGTGTGTGGTGAGCGTTCTGGCGCACTATGGCTGCTGTCACATCATCCAGGTGAGGGCTACACATTGGTGGTGGTGGAGGGGATCCCCATTACCTGTAAAGGGCTTTGAGTGGAGTGTCCAGAAAAGCGCTATATAAGTGTAAGGAGTTATTAGTTTGAGCAATGTTTTTGGTCAACTTGCCATGGGGTGCCTTTAGCCCAGACCACAGAAAAATAATTTCAAAGCCATAACTGTAAATTTATGACAAAATATAGTACAAAAATCAAACAACAGTCCATCCACCTATTTTCCAACTGCTTCATCCAATCCAGGGTCATCAGGGTGTTGGAGCCGTTCCCAGCAAGCAAGACAGATACACAAACACACACTCACGCCAGCACCCATTTTCTCAGAAACCAAAACGTCCAGAGGAAATGCTCAGAAACACAGGGAGGACATACAGTACAAACACCATGCAGATAGCAGCCCAAGAACGGAACCCAGGGCCCCAGACTCTGCAAGGCAACAATGCTACCCATTCCACACTCAAACAACCCTCGTCTATATTAAAATATTGTTCTATTTGAATGCAAACAAGAAAAGCAGACTGGAGTCTATTAATACAAATAGAGAAAAGGCAGCAGTGACTCAGCTAAATAGAAAGGACTTTGTGTCATGAACCTGATGCCTGCTATGGTGAGTCATAAGCCTTTAACTAAATGAAATATGATAAATGCAAGGAAAGGCGTGTTAACCAAAAGAACCTTAAATGCTTTATGCATAGACTGGTCCTTGCTAGTTTTAAATCATTACTGTGTAGAATGGCACCCGAACATTATCCACTCAATCTGTATATTGCATGTGAACTGTGCGATCAGGATACAACAGTGACAGTAGCACTCAATAGGACCAACAGGACCAGAGATTAAACTCTGCAGGGACAATCTGGAAAATCCAGTCAAAACTAATCCACATGTTCTTGGAAGGCAGGAGGAAATTGGAGAACTCCGTAAAACCCCACATGAGCATGAGGAGAATATACAGGCTTGGTACTGTGCTCCGTTCCGGACAGGAGGAGAGAAGTAGGTGATGAAACAGTTTTTCCAACCACCATGTCTATACTAGTAGTCCAGGAATATTCGCCAATTCATAAGGCCTAAAGTGTTTGGATATCCTATATAATAATAGTTCACACATTGTTTCATCCCATGCACATAGAATTATGGCATGGAACATTATGGGTCAAAGAACTATAAAATAATAATCAGAAGGCTATTATTATTATGTATTTATCCAAAATGACATAATGTACATCTGTAGCAGTTTATACCCTTAATTAATAGTATTGTCTTCTGTAATAGGTGTATATGATTTTCTTTAATGCAGTATTATGTATAAATTATATCATTGGATTATACTGTATATAAACTTGTCTTACCTACATTCACTTTATTGCCTACGATGCAATTCCAGTCTTTAAGCTTAGTTTTGGCTCAGTTGCAAATGAGCTACGTTTCTGAAGGAATTGTTCTATGAAGCTGATACTGAGAATATTCTACAGTATGAATCTAAACATAAAGAAAACATTAACATCTATAATTATAATTTAGGAGGATCTGTATAACTTTGATCTCACTTTGACATTATGTCATTATGTCAATGATTATAATGTATGACGTTTTATGTCAATCAGTAACAAAAAGCCCAACTAAATACAGTACATTATGATTCCATATTTGAACACAATAAAATGTGAAATACTTCAAGAGAGGACAATACATTGATAGCCACTGCATATGTAAAGTGCCTATATTTGATTATTATTAAAATGTCCTAAAAATAACAACACTTCATGGAAGTTCTTCTTCCTCGTGAATCAGAAGTTGTCCTCACTGCATGGTATTCATCTTGGGACCTCTACGAAGGCCTTTTTAAAAAAAGTTTCTTTATTTTTCTCTCAGAAGTAATTTGAAAGTTTTACTTTAGCTTTGTTGTTGTTACGAATCATCTTGGCTCATAGTAGCCACAGTAGCACATTATAAAAAAGGACATTTTGGTAAATAATATGAGAATAGGTTGTCTTTGTTAACATCCTTATTATTGTTCTCACAACACCTGGGGCTAGCAGACCGAGTTTTCTTAGACAGTATTGTGAACTGTATGTACAAGGACAGAATGAGAAGTTCTATTCTCTATTTTCCTTTTTACTATTTTTTGCCCTATAACATTTCCAGACCTCCAGTGGGGAAAAAAAGGTTATTTGGAGCCTTGCACACTCCAGACATACACAGACTGTAGTATGGTACAATAAGATTGGGATTAGGGGAATCAGACAAGAAACTTTTGTAGGTATAATAAAGGGCAGATGGCAAGAATTCAAAGATTGCAGCATATTTTTAAATGCTCAGAAATTCAGTTTTTGAAATACAACAAAAAGTGAAATACCGCGCAACAAATCGAGCACGCCCAAACATCCTACGAGTTTGAGTAAAATATGGCCATAAAGGTTAAATCAGATGAAAGGTAACCCAACTTGCAGACCATCATCTGATATATCTGAGTTTTACCATCTGGAAATAGATTTTTTTCAGATCTCAGATGCTAAACAAGGCTGGACCTAATCAGGGTTGAGGTGGAAGATGTCTTGGGGAAATCAAATTGATCTGTTTTCTTTCCCTATTAAGTTTGTAATCAACCACTGCTATTTTTACTGACACCGAGCTGTTTAGCTAAGAAAACCAGTTTCACAGCCAAAGGGTATAAAACAAAGCAATGCTAAGCCATCACTCATTTAAAAACTACTCTGCATGGGATGCATCTGTTACCATTTTCAAAAATAATCATTGTGCTCCAGAGCCCATTATTGAGAAAAACCTTGATAATATGCAAAGAAATACAGACGTAGATCAGAATCAACTTCTCCTGTATATCAAGTCAAAAAACACTGAAAATCTTTTCTTTATTTTCATAGTCTTTTCTTTTAGGCACACAGTTTACAGTATGTCATAACTACAGAACTACCACACATTCCAGTAGAATAGAACACACACAAGCTATAAGTCCACAATGAAAACACGCACTGTAAGGGGTAGCTCCTGATATACCAATTCAATTAAAGTCAAGAGAAACTACTGTTAAAACATTAAAATGTTACAGTTCCTGTTTCCTTATACATTAATTACACTGATGGTACTTTTGACCAGATAACATTAGATTCCTTATACACACCATCTATTCAGGACACCTTAGAAACTAAGACATTGAAAAGACATCTAGTATGTAAAGGACTAGAAGACAAAAAGTACAAAAAGTCAATCGGGCTAAACAGTCAGAGGATCAGAACTCAGAAAGGTCTCTGCAAAGGCGAAACATTATCCCACAAGCCACTTCACAGAAGAAGCTTTTTAAAAGATGAAACTGAGAAGAAAATAATCTGAAGATGAACCTTTCATCGGGTCTCGTATCATGTTAAATCATTTATGATTCACTGACATTTTATTTGTGCCAAACTCAGAACTACAGTTATGATTTCAAGCACTGCAAAAACTGAAATTGAATTTAGTGAATGCTAGGAGGGTTTAACAAATATACTCTTACCATTTAGTAGTGTCAAATTGGAAAAGGTTATAAAATGTGTCGTACATAAACACACTTTGTATAAAAGTATCCACCCCTGTAATAATGTCCCATTTTATAGAATTCTGATACTGAATGTCCCTTGGAGCACAAAGACATCAATCATTAACAAGTGCAAAGTGTACAGCACCACCCAGACACTGACTAGATCCCTCAAAAAGAGCAGCCAGGCAAGTATGAAATTGGTCAGGGATGCCAATGGGAAGCTAATTGCTATTTCAAGAGCTACAGAGTTTAATCACTGAGGGAGACAATATCCATGATGATCTATCAACAACAGTTGCTCAATATGCATGTCATGAAAATAAAACATCTGAAATCCCTCAAGTATTTCAATGATTCTCTAAACATATTGTCAGAGATTTTACGGTAAGACAAGATAAAATTAAAATGCTTTGGTCTAAATTCAAAGCTTTATGAGCAAATTTTGAAACAAAATTCACCTTTCAGCAGGACAATGGCTCAAAGCACAAGGCCAGAACTACTGGACTGGTTTAAAAAGAAGAAAGTCAATGTGCATGATTGACCCAGTCAAGCATCCAACTTGCATATAATAGAAAATCTGCTGCAAAACTTGAATATTGTTGTCCACAGCTTTGGCACATTCTGTAAAGAAGAATAGGTAACGATTGTACCAATCCCAGCCGGCAAAGTGAGTAGAGACTCACCAGAAAAGCTTTTGATTCTTCAGTTTGACCACTTAAGATTAGAAAAAAATAATTCCACTTTAAAAATGAGTATACATCATTGTGTAATTCATAAAATGGGGCATCATTTGGAAACGGCATCACTTTGCAAGGCACTGTTTATGCGTGCATATACTGTACAGTACTTACTGTATACCAAAACGTTTGTGGTCTTTATTTTAACTTATTTATTGGTACGTAATGTATATTATACATTTTCTGCAGATCACAAAGTTCTCTAATTAAACAAAACAATATCCAAATTTCATAACATTAAGACAAACAATCTTACCCTACACTGACACCTTAAAAATAATGTATTACTGAAGGAAAACAAGTGGACTCAAGTAACACCAAAGCAAAGCATCTGTACTTCCGTCAGTGTACTGTACCACAGGGGAAGAACGCATGGCTCTAAGTAAATTATCTTACAAAAATTGAAAAGAAAAGCTTTTGCTGGATAATGTCTATCTTGTTGAACATGGCTTCGGCAGAATGGACATACTGTACCAATCCGTGACATCATGCTGTCTTTTTTATGCCGTGGACAGTGCGCAGTCATGCTTGGTGGGTATGCAGTACAGTACTCTGTGTAAAATACTGTACATTTATTGTCAACCTCTTTAAAAAAACCTGCTTTTCACACAACCAGACGTCCTGATTTTCCCCACAGCCATCTCCTCCCGTCTGAAAATGTCACAGTGACATCTCGGTTTTCCTGCTTTGAGCCCAGCAGGAAACGTGCTGGTGGGACAACCCCCCCCTCCCCCCCCGTTGCCTTGCTAAAAAAAAACCATCAAAGGGCTTAAGAGACGGCCTCGTGACTGAGACCTGTCCAAAAAAGAAAAAAAGACCAAGGTGGAAGCCGACCCAGGCCGCGGTGGTGGGGATGACTCACCAAGTGAGATCCAGGGCATGGATCTGTGAGGCCGTGCTCGGTGTCAGCATTTTGGACCGCCTCCGCGCGCTGGCGACCGTCACCATCACAACCCGGAACAGAACAACGGTGTTCACCTAAACGGATGGAATAAAAAAAAAAACAGCATCAAAACACTGGAAATGAAAAACTGCGATATCTCGGCTGCACTTGTCCAGAAATGCACCCTTCTCCAGTATACACTGTGATGTATCATTTGATCGTTTTGTTTTCTGCTCCTTGGATAAGGTTGGCCATAGCGGATTATGCTCTTAGTGGTGTGCTGTGCTGTTTACAGTATGTCTGATAACATGGACAGGTTTACCACTGCTGTGCTCAATGTTCCCTTAAATAGTATTCAATTCCAGCACCTCAGGAACTGAACACAGGGCCCCAGCTCCGCAAGGCAGCAATGGTCACTAATGCACCACTTTGCCATCGTATAAATGCAACATCTTAAGAATACTGCATGCTTATAAAACAGATGTTCTTTTCACAGGGAAAGCAGTTGTACTGATCTAGAAAAGGCAATCCAATCTAAAGGTATAACTTTTCACTTTAAAGCATCAATGTGCTCATACAGACATCATCATCATCACTTTTTTTTAGCCCTATACAATTTCCTGCATTAGGAATTATCTTTTCGCATACCCCAGCTTGCTCTCCATGAGACACACAGACAGGGAGAGAGCCTGGGGTCAGAGCGCAGGGTCAGACATTTATACGGCGCCCCTGGAGCAGTTGGGGTTAAGGGCCTTGCTCAGGGGCCCAACGGAGTAGGATTCCTCTGCCGGCTGCAGGATTTGAACCGGCAACCTTCCAGCGACAGGTGAAGATCCTTAGCAACAGAGCCACCGCTCCGCCCAATAGGAGGGGAGTGATTTAAATAGAGTATAGATAAAATATTTTAAAATTCCTATATAAAAAAGCACGGCAAGCAAGACTCCTAGTGATATGTGTATAGGCATTAGAAGGGGTCCAGTCCCCAAAAGTACATCAGTGTAAAGGTCCAATGGGTCACGTGTTTGGGATAATGTTGGAATTTCCTTGGGTGCCGACTCCATATTAGGAAGGCAATGAAATCGCTTTTCCAGCACTTTTCTTCCTCGGTTCCTTTCCCTGGAGTGGAAAGTCTACAATTCACTGCAGGTTGGCTTATCCCACTGTAAGGGTGTCCTGGGTGGACACTGGGCTGGGGAGTGGTTTAGTCTCACCCAGATTACAGTGCCATCAGATGCAGCTGGTTCCCATTTGAGTTTTACTGTATATACAGCTAAATAGCCCAGGTTCTATGGTCCGTCATTTCTATAAATGATCCCGCAAAATGGAATTCGAAAATATGCATTTTTTTAATAGAAGACATTTATATTAGAGTACACATTTATTATGTGTATGTGTAAATAACACTTTTATTCTGGCTTAATCTTCATATGTAAATGCATTCACCACTCTGCTGACTTTACAGCTCCTCTTTCCAAAATCTCACGTTCTACTTTCTGAACGGTCAGTTTGATGCTGACTGGAAACCTTCATTATTTACAGTGCTTGCTAGACTTCCTTTCCTGTCCTGAGATCTCAGGTTTCTTTTATTTTTACACTTTCTTTCAATTGGGCTAGAATCACGTCTGTGTTTCTTGATTGCTCTCCTGTGTACACATTAAATCTCAAATGAAATTCAAATTCAGTGCTTTCATTGAAATATATTTGAATAGTTTCCCCAAACACATATTTTGGTTTCCACACATCCTTAATGGGAAACAATTCAAGGCAAGTTAATGAATGAAAATTGAACATAGTCTCTAATTGTTGAGAAGCTTTCTTGTGTTTGAAATGCAATAAAATAACAGCTTAACAGCTTATATTATAAATCCAAGCCAAGACTAAATACTCTGGTATTAAAACATTTAAAAACAAATTCCATTTGAAAATGAAATTCAAATACCTGAGAAAAAAAACCCATTACACAATGGAAATTATTGTCTAAAAGGATAGGAATTAGGTGCCTTTCTTCAATGTTCTGATTCCTCAATTAATCATTTGCTCAAGTGAAATAAAAGTGGTGAGAAAATATAATTAGTTTTCATCATATTTTAACAGTAGAATGCACAATTGTTTTCTGTGTTTTGTTTCTGTGAAGTGTGTATCAGCATTTGATAACATCAAGGCCAACCTGAATAAAGTTCTGAACATCACAAGCAGTGAGCAGATGATGGCTATTCTTCATCTTTAAATTAGCTGGCCATCACCAGAGCTTCCAGCATTGTTTGGGGAAACATTTTATTTGACCGCAATGAAAAAGCGACATTGTGCTCTGTGAATTTTATCAAACCTCCCAACGAAAGGATGAGAACAGCAGAAATACTTACAGAGAGGACAAAGATAACAGGGCCAACAAAAGCCCAAATAACATCAGTCTGAGCGTTCAGCCAGCAATAATTGTCCGCCACATACTTGTTAAAAGAAGTTGCCAAGGTGATACCAACAATAACAACTGGCAAACCTGAAATGAACAGACAAAAAAAAACAACATAAAGTAAAATTATTTGTACAGAAACTGCCCAATCTTTTAATCCTTCGCTTTGCAATACGAACACAAATATTCTTAGGTTAGTCTTAGAGCATCAAGATCTCATACACAAATTCCCACTGACAAGACACGCAACAGGCAGGCTTAAAAAGAAACACTATTAGCAAATGCTAGAACTTACGAAAATGTGGTGTGGGTGTGAGTGTGGGTGTGGGTGTGGAAATGGGTGTGGAAGTGGGTGTGAGTGTGAGTGTGGGTGTGGGAATTCGAGAGAGTCTTACAAGACTTAAATCTTTTTTTATTTAGCAGTGCCTAACAGTGACTATCAGCTGATTTACATAAAGTGTGGAAGCGGGGTTTGCATGCACAGAGGTCCCTGCACCCTGCTGCCCAAGAAGGGGGTCTTTCACGCCGCAAAAACCAGCCTCACGCCAGATGATCAGCGACGCGTGTGCAGCCGTGCTCACCCCAGCCGATAGCGTAGTACAGCTTCATCCTCCGGTCCTCGCTGATGTTCACGGAGACGACCTTGCTCCAGAGCAGCAGGCCTTCCACCAGCATCCAGGAGAACGATCCCAGGAAAAAGAGATGCAGCAAAGCTGTCACGGCAGTGCACAGCCCCTGGAGGTCACGGGGAGAAACGTTCATGCAAACGGCAGCCAGCTCCTATCTACATTACACAGACTCCAAGGCACGTGATAGCTCGTATCATTCATTATAACTGTACTGATACGGTAATTGATGTTTCAGCTGATGAGATTTAAACCATATAAAGTGTGACTAAAATATTTAGATAGACGTTGAGGTGCTGAAATTCTAGGAGGACATTCTCTGGTATCCTCCCGTGCGATTTGAGTTTCTCTTTTGTAATCATTTTGTTCGATTTAAATGAATCTTTTTTTTTTTTTACATTTCTTTCTGTGAATATCCATCTGGGAGGCGGCCGTGGAAATTAACCTTTGTCTAAACAATTTTCACATTGCATATAGTGTTGTGGATTCTCTTATACTGTGTCCATGTTAGGAGAGTAACCCATCCCTTTAAAAAAAAAGACACCCTTTTCCGTCTGAATGTGTAGACAACCAAACAGATCACAGCTGAGATCATGTTTACATTTACCTGCACAAATAAAAACGATAGAGGAAATGCTTAATAATTAAGCAATGAAAACGATTTTTTTTTTTCAGTAAAAAAATACTCTACGTGGATTTCTTTTGCTTTGTCGATACCTTCTTGGCTTGTGATTACCTTGTTGGTACTGGCCAGATCACTGAACATCAGTAATAGTTGTGCAACTCCCAAAGCAAAAATCAGATTCTTGTGAACTGTTGTTCTATCCGAATTAGGAACGCTGTGGTAAGGGGAAAAAAAGACAGATAGGATACGAATTATAAAATACAATTCCAATGTACCATGAGTTGTAAGTATAAGGATGATTTTGTTCCACCCTACAGCAAATAGCAGCACCTTATTAATCAAAACATAAGGAAAACTAATCTTATAGCTGCAGAACTTGTATGTACAGTACCTGGGCTATTTAACCTCATGTAGGCAAAGGAATTGCTGTTTAAAAAGAATGTCAAATGATATAGCTTATATTGAGAACAATGTGAAACTAAAACAAAAAAAGTGAGTATTACTAAGACTATACCGCTATGCTAGGAAGCTTTTATGCATAAGATAACAGCAGACATACCCTACTGCAATGAAAAGAATAAATGTCATAGTTAAGCCACATAAAGACACTCCACACCCCACGAAGGTCAATATCCGGAGAGCATTCTCATCTTGTGGAGTTCTCTGGAATGAGAATTGTTAAGAGAATAAAAAGAATAGTTTAGGGCCCATTGTTAATAGTAACTTTTTAAACATAAATTTCAATTTGGTTTGTCTTATTTCTTGCTCAAATGCTGGTTATCAATCCACTTTTTGCAACTTATTTTCAGTATCACCAGAAAAAAAAAATAAAGAGCACAAAGTAAGTACCTTTGGATGTCAGAATGAAAGCCGTTTTCGTTCTTTTTATAGGTTTTTAATATTCAGAATTTCTTCCACCTGTGCCATTTAAGTTTGGTCAAAATCCCGTTTATGAAAAGTGCATTGTAGCCATCACAAATAAATCAATAAAGTTCATGTGTATCTCGTCCTCATGACATAATTCTCACGTATTTACATGAAAATGATCTTGTTATCAGGAGATAGGGAATTATGTCTTGATTGCAAGATTGCCGGGTAATTTACAACATGTGATATCTGATGATAACACAATTGACATGCAATACCTACATTATCGTTGTTTGACTTTCATTTTTAAGCAATGGAGTCATTTGCATAGTAGTTTTTTTTTTGTTTAAGAGAATGTCTGAATTTCCTCATGCTTATAGTGTCTACTTTCACATCAGTTACAATTTATAGGTTTCATTAAGACTAAACTCCAGGCGAAAATTAATCCGTACAAACTCGTAGGGCTGGATATTTTCATGAACGAAAGTTTAACCTGAACTTCTATTTCACAATATAAGAAGTTCTTCAGACCCACAGATAATCACTTGTTTCTTGCAATAAAGAGTACTTTACTATCTGTTCCTTACAAAATAACTTTCGTATAAATGAGAGATAATAAATAGACATCCACATTAAATATTTTTTCTTTGATGGCACACACATACGTTTTAGAACACCACGATCTAAACTTTTTCGACCTACTTTGCATGTTGTTCAAAACAACCTTTAGCATTGCACTGCTTCCACTAATTTCTCTGGCTAAATCAAATGAAATTCCTTTCATTTTAGCTTTTGTATAACTTTGTATGTATGCACAGTTATTACTGACCTTGTAAAAAGAGATGGTACGCTCATTTTTTAGAAAAAAAAAAGACGCCGCGGTAATTTGCTGAGGCAGTATTACAGAATGTTGCTTTTTTGTGACTAAAAGGAGGAAACAATGTCTGCTCGACATTCCAGAAAAAGCACTCATATTGTTAATAATACAAACATATATGCATGAATAATGGTGTAATGGATAATGGTCCATAATGCATGTGTAATGGTGTATATTACATTTTTAAAGGCCTCTTTATTGATTTAAAACTACTGTATGTAATTGAATGTTTCTGAATTGCTACACTTGCAAGATCGAGAGTTGGATCTTCCACACTTGCCTGAAAATGATTCATATTTCCAGAATAAACTTCTTTCATTCAGAATTAAAGATATGTTATACCGCAAGGGTAATATTTGGTCTTTTTGGAGAAGCTGCATACTGTACATTGGAAGGACGTTTGTTTTATTACAGTAATTCAACCGGTCATCCATTCAATAACAAAGCAAAAATATTCGAATGAAAAAATCTATTTAATGATGTTGGTCTATGTGTGTTTTGCGGAACACTGTTGGTGTAGGCTGTTTTATTGGTTGAGTAAACGTATTACCGGTAGCTAGAGAGGGATAATGATCGGTAGCGGGTGAAGATTTGGGCGAGTTTAAGAGCATTTTTTTTCGAGGAAAACAAAACTCTAGAGGGGTTCATGAAGACATTAAATATATTTAATTAATGTATAAATGTTTATTCACATTACATTGCTAGCACTAATAAAACTGCTTTTTGAACAAATACCACCTTAAAGACTAATTTAACTTCATACCACAAATTTACCTTTATGAGCCTTGCAGTCATGTGCTCATACTGTATATACAGTACAGCAGGGAAATTGCTTACACTTGTGCTATTGCCTACATTTGCTTGATTGTCGTGTGTGTTTTAATAACATGAAGGAGCCAAACATCATTCCTGCTTGCTCTCAGGCCTGGTGCTGATGAGACAGCCCATCTTCAAATGTCACTGCCTCCCCTCATGTCTCCCTTTGAGGTCTCCTTCCCTCCAAAACGAGAAGACAGTGTCTGAAATATTGGAACGTGTTCCCTCACTAAGGATGAAATTCCTTCTGGAGAATAATCTGGTTGGCACATAACAAAATAGATCCACAAATCAAATTCTCCACTTGGGTAGGTAATGTTAGAGTAGCCCCTTGCTTGTAAACTTAAACTTCATTTCTACATACTGGTACGAAACACATCCTTTGGCATTCAGGAATAACTCAGCTTATGGAGTGCCTTTTAAAGTGGATCCACAGATTGACAATTGATACCTTACCTGCACTTCGTAAATCTGCAGCAGCAAGGCAAAGTTGGTTGTGTGGTTGCAGAAACAGGTTGTGGATTCATATCCCAAGGATGTGATAAAACAGCCCTCTGTAGACCAGCTGCCTCCTTTCTCTGGCCTGACGGGAAAAAAACAATGACAAGTCGCTTCTTGATTAAACTCAGAAAGGAAGAATCTGTCCAGAAATAATGGATACTGCTGAGCATTCATAGGAAAAAAACGAATTTCTTCATTCATGAAGGAAGAGTACCCGGCCTCTTTTCGTTCAATGCAAATTCCTCTATAAGAGGTGGGTTTTATCGCCTCATGAGCCTCTAGATAAAAAGTCATTAGCATCAAAGCTTACTTCATACATCTAGAAATTAAAATCCATTCTTCTTTTAGGTATGGTTAAATCAGATCCCATGGTGTTGATTTTGTAAATAGCTGCATCTGGCAATGAGCTTAAGGGACACATTATTTGTATTCCTTTTGCAGCACAGTTTAAACCCCAGTTTCTCATTGTTTGCATTTAGTTTTTGTAATCATTACAAAAATTAAATGTAAGGGATACTGCACAACAGACAGAAGTGACAAAGTTGTAGTAAAATGCATGTAAAATTCATCAGTGGTACTCAATTGCTATCAATCCTACAAGTTATCAAAGGGAATCTAAAATACTTACTTGAGGTGAAAATCCCAAAAGGCACAAATTGGTTCATATTCTGCTCCATGAAGGTTCTTTCAAATGTGGACAAAAAATGAGACCAGTATTAAACAGAAGAGTCTCTCACAGGGATGGCATAACATGGCTTCTGTCTTTAAGTTCTAAAGTCTATGCAAAGACACACTGAGTATTTTTCTCTTTCATAAGGTACACAGAGAGTTCACTATCCTCAACACTTGTACTGTATGTGTCAAGAGGTAACCTCTCAAGCTGAGCCCTGTCCTTTTAAAAATCAGTGGTCAACTTAAACTATACTGTATGAATAGCATAGTTGCATGAATGTAGCACAAATTAATGGGACTAGCTAACAACCGCATTCAACTGGTGTCGTTTTTTGTGTTTCTTTTGAGATTTACTTTTGATTCACAAATTGAAGAGTAAACACAGGGCCAAGGAGAATCCTCTTCATCCTAACTCCTAACATGTCATAAGGAGGACTAATCTGTGCAGTCTGTCAGACTGTGATTCTATTAGCATGCTGTATAAATACATGTTATTGCAAAGGACAAGAACACTTCTGTCTTTTTCACAAAGACTTATGAAGCCCACAGGGATCTGGTACACAAATCAATTGTTCTATAATATTAACAGTACCTTATTTATCTTTGACATCTACATTGACATTTTGATATATACTGTACAGAGCAGATAGCTCAGTTCCAGGACTTTGGAGACTGCAATCCATCAGGGTTTCTTATTTTGTTTAAATCACTAACTTCTTAGAGATATTAAAACCAATGAGAATACTTACTGTATGTTCCCACAGTTAAGCTTTAATCTAACTCCTTTCCACCTGTACTATGCAAACCTAGAGAGACTTCTGCTTTGCTTTCAGGAACCACACATGAGGTCTCCTGTTTGGTATTAAATTATTATAACTTAATCTTAACAGTCACTATTTTTTTCAGTGACTTAGGGTCAAAGGATGCGCTACTCTGAAAGAAATAACTGAATACAGGGGGTTCTAATTCAAGTCATCAAAATATCTGTATATCTATCCTCAGAGTGATACTTGCATGATAGAGTGATAATACTGCCTCAGTTGAATCTTTAAACATTTAATTATTTTTCTTACTTGAAATCCCTACAAAACTATACATCCGAACCCTTTTTGTGCCGTTAGCAGAGATATTTTGTGAAATAAAAGGAAAGGCTACAAAAATACACAAGATACCATTATTTCAAAAGAATCAAGACAAAAGTGTATGATTTAGAGTTAAAAAAGGAGGGTTCTTGTTTAATCATCATTCAGCATTATCTTCTTCAAGAAATTATGTTTGTACCTCTGCATTGCACACTGGAACTGTGCCTCACAATCTCTGCAGAGAAAGGAGAAAATCTGGCAGTGCTATTTAGGCCAAGCAGGCTACAATATGGACAGTAAGTCACAGCGGTGAAGCGCTGAAGTTAAGGAACCAAAGTAATTCAGACATTACCTCTAATCTGTGCCGAAGTTCATAGTTCACAGCTGTGTTTACTGGTCGGTTATCACCAAGAACTGTAGCTGATATTACAGATGACCCCAGCACTGTGCCCACATGTCTTGGTCCATTGCGAAGAGAAACAAAATGAGGTAAGCAACAGCAAGAATCTCATTGCTCTGCTTAAAACACAACTTTTTTCAGTTCAGCAACTACACCTTGATACAGTTAAAAGAACACGATGAACAATAACTTCTGTGTTTCTTCAAACTTCATTGCAAAACTGTAACTGTACAATTTCAGATGTGATAGATTGATCGATACAGTATCTTCATCTACTGGATTCAAAAGTTAGTGCTAAGATGGGGGATATTTAACATTTCAGTTCTCCAAAGGTATGGACCAATAACAGAATGCACTTACTTTTGGCTTCCATCAGTCACAGTAGAAAACTGTGTGATGTTATCCTCAATTCCAAATAAAGGAAGCAGAGAGCCATACCATGTATTTATTAATGTAATATTCTGAATTCCTGTAATATAAAGTCAAATAAAGTAATTTACCAAACTTGGAAAGTACATTTACTTTAAGAAACATTTTTGTGACACATGTTGTTGTAAGAAACACCAAAGGTCATCATGTTAAGTACAGTAGAAACAATTAATTGCTCAATTAAACACTTTATAGCAAGACAAACACATATCATTCACAATTTTCGATTTAGTTTATTGTAACAAATACATTTATTTATATTAATAGTGAACCTATTTTTACTTTTCAAATATCATTCAAACAGTTGTCATTTTTACTGTGATACATTTAAAATAATAATTATACACTGACATGTTCGTTCTTAAAGAATTATTGTTTACTCCAAGGGCTTTTCGGGGAATTTCAACTTACCATGCTGATAGAGCTGCTGGATCTTGTCTTCTGGGACTGTAATAAAATCAACTTTTGTTTCATTTTCAGGTGTCGGCCCATGGAAGTCTGAGCCATCGGCGCCAGAGCCAAGACCTTTCTGTCGTACTTCAAGTTCTGCAAAACAAACAAATCATTTAATCACACACGAGAAACGGAATCAACAGTGAATGCGGAAGATCAGAATCCTTCTAACTCAAGCAAAGACGCTTAAGGACACACAAACACTTTGTAATGTTTTGTCCTGGAAATGAAACTGGCCAGAAGACCTCTAAAAATGAGGATTTTGAAATCTGTGGGAATAACATCGGATATATGAATCCGCCCTCGTTATTTTGGTAAGAAGATATTTAGTCAGTGATCATTTGTCAATCAAGGCTGGTCTCTCTCTGGGTGGCAGCACAAATACAAGGAACTATAGGCTCACAGTTTTGTGTTTGCACACAGCCAGTCGATCAGTGCCTGTGGGGTTCTTTCATGCTTCTGTTAGATCACAGACTAGCAGTAATTCAGTTCCAAAAGGATGATGCTGCCAAGTGCCCTGCCTTCCAAGACAGACCTATATATTTCCAGCAAAGTTGAAGGCAGTCTTGCAGGCCAATCCAACCTGGCCTTCATACAGAAGGCACCATCTAAACTGGCTGGGTGAAAGCAGAAACTGGCAGGCACTGAAACACAAGTCTGTAGCCTTAAAGAACATCCTGCTTAGGTTTGAGTTTTGAGATTATTTTTACCTCGATCTCATGCTCCACATTGAGCTCCTTTGCCGAGTGCGCGTGTCCGTGTAAAACAGACCCAATATCTGTTAAGAACTTCAGAAAGGCTTTAATCTAAGAAGACCATTTGACTAACTGTGTTCAAGTAAAAAGGCTCATTTATTGTGAGCCGGTGATGCAATTCTCTTTAGCCTGAAAGTCATAGCAGACCGGCTGAATCGCGATCAGTCTTTTGGCTCAGCAGACGTGTTCACCAGCCTGTGTGCACTGCGTGGCTCTTGTGTACTGAGAGAGGCCAGATATACAGTGAATCAAACCCCAGGGGGATATTAGCTGATCCTATGAAACGAAAGCTCTGTAATACTCATCCAGATGCTAGAAGCTTGTCGAAGGGTCCTGGAAAACTGTCTTCAGCAAATTCAGCATAAATTCCAAATGCTAGTAATGCATATGCTCAATATTCAGTGTAAAAACGTGAATACTGTTCCTTTTCACAGTGCTATACATTAGGAAGAAAGAAAATCTTAATTATCTCTGCACTGCCGAAAAAGCCTTGTAATGACTCATTCTGCTTGGTACTGTATATGTAGATCATCCTCTTTGTTTAAAGGAAACATGAGATTTTGTGAGTTTAACATACTGATGTTGGTGCTGTCAAAGACAATCCTGCTTTTCTTAGCCATTAGCAGCGGGTTGAGATTGGCCACCATCCTGTCAATGCTGTGAACCACAGTCATGGGCCCATTTACGATCTATAAAAGAAGAAAACAGAATTTGAAACTGGTATTGAGCTTTTGTGAAGTATCTACCTCTCCAGCAGTGACCTTGGGGGAGCTGTTGATAAAATAAAGCTGAGATGCCTTTTGATTTCCCACGGAAAAACATGACAGGCCTTTGTTCAAGGAAATGCGAAGGCAGTCCACTCTAGAGCATAGAGCCATGCAAAGAGAGAGACAGACAAATCCATCTGCACCCTTATTTTATATTTCAGCGTTTTTATGAGATTTACAAAGCTCCTTTGAGACAGCTTGGTCTATTTTCTTTCTAAGACAGTTAGAACTGGCAATTTTAATTACACCTGTGTTAGACTCAGGTGTTTCCGAAGTTTCTTTTAAGCCATGTTCTTGATTGGGGTATTTCGATTCCAAATGTTGCACGTGCTCAATAGTTGCAGTGCTCTAAATTGCCCAGTAATAAAAATTTTCAAGGAGGCTAAAATCTTTTTTAAGAAAGCCCTGTTGTTTTATTTTTTCATTTTTGTAAGCTCAAGGGATCTTATAATTAATCTGAAACTAATATTAAAGTGAACACAACATACTGTAACTGTGTTTGTGACATTTCATACAGTGAATATGCTGCTGTACATGTCTTAAACATCTTAAACCTAATCAGAATTACAATACAGTATATATACTATGTATAATGATCATCCACAATGTACCGTATTTTATGCCTCCACCTGTGTTTTCTACTATTATAGTGCTTTTGACTATTTTTATACAGATCTAGGCATTGAGCAATCTTCAATTCACATACATCAGAATCTTCAAAAAACTCAAGGTAAACCTACATGAGCAATCAATGTGAGGTTTTGCTGTAGATAATCCAACACATCTATGAATCAAATGTGATTTATTCATTCTGTCCCTCACTATTAACATCAGTCGTCCCTCACTGCACATTCATGATGATAAAAGGCTCATTTATGTTGTGCCGATTGGTGATTAATCTCTTAGGATTGACTTAACATAAAATGTCATTGGATCATGTGGCTGCATATAAAAGACAAAAAAACAGTGAAAAGAGTAGAACAATGGAAAATGTCTAGGACATCTACACATCAGTGTGTTTTTGGATCTGTAATTGATATTTCACACGCGAAGTCCTATTATTTAATTAATTAAAATCTAGTCATCATCTGGAAACGGCATGCAAGGTTTTATTAGTTTAGTTTCCTCAACTACTGTTTCTTTTATTTGCATACGCTGCCGCCTAGTGGAGAGAGGCGAAAGAAGCAGTTTGGAGACGTCCAAACCAAAGGCCTTTCTTTTTGCAATCACAGGCATTTCAAGGTTTTGTTTTCAAACCCTCAGTGAATGCAAAAGAGATTTAGAAAAATTGAATAAATTATTACAACTCTTCTTTTCTATGTTCATTTGTAATTCAATCTCTGGAGGCTAACCTTCATTTCAAGAGGACATTTGTGAATGATATTTACCCCCTACCAGATTTCAACAAAAATTACTTTGTGCAGCTTAACGATGTTGTCCTCCACAGAAAGAATTGCGCATAAAGGTTTATATATTTCTGTTTGCAAATAATTTTGAAATGTCCTAAATGTGACAAATAAGATTCTGTTGAAGCCAGACTCAATAGAAAACTAAAATGAAACAAAATTTATCTTATATAGTACATGACATTTGTGGAGATTGTTGTGCAGAAATATTGTTTTTATTCTCTCAAATTAAGCACAAAAGCATGCATTATCAAGCTCTATCATGGTCAGAAAACTGCATACACTTGGCAAACAAAATGCTCTTTTTTCATTCTGCTTTGTAACCTTTTCACAGAGTACCATGAAGAGGAGAAAACATCTGAAAGAGAAAAATGTTGCAAGACTGAAAAGCAAGATGAAAAAGTTTTTAAAATAATGTTCTCAAAACGTTTTTTTTTTTTAAATACTGAAGGCAAATACAACTGCAGAGAGGCGGTCCAGTGATGTGGCATCTATCACTGCTGTCAAACAGGTCTTTGGTACCGAGTTTGATAAAGGACTGGGCTATCTTTTGTGTGGAGTTTGCATGTTCTCCATTTTCCTGACACCTATCAGGACACACAGGCTCAGTTAAGTGGTGCTCTTAAATTGTGCCCGCATACTTCCTAGTGTGGCCCCCAGCACACAAATTCGCCTTGTGTTCCTAGGATGGGGTTTTTTCCTAACTTTTCCAGGTGGGTTTTGGATAACGGTCGAGGAAACTACCCGCGTGCTTTGTAAATAACGGAAAGGTGTAGACAACCAGTTAGCGCAGCCAATTTGCCCTCGCCATTCTAAACACAAGGTTTGTACAAGGGTCTGACAATGATATGTCAGCTTAGGGAAAAAGGAAAAATCAATGCTTCATTAAGGGCAACATTAAGCGCTTGCTTGCTTTTTGAAACACTTCACACACGACATTCGTCAGCCGTCTGTCAATGTCCGATTTTTCCTACCTCCTTCACAGCCATCCACTTGTTGATGTTCTCTTCCCTGAACATCGTGTCAGCCACAGTGATGAAGAAACTGCTCATGTTCCTAATGGCATCGTGACTCTCGTTGCCTCTGATTTTCACGGCTGCCGCCTGGGAAAGGAACTGCACTAGGCTCACCATGTCGGCAGGCTCGAGCGGAGTGCCGACATCCACCAGAGCCTGTTGTGAGAACTTCAAGATATCGTGCACCTCCGGAACGCTCAGGTCCTTAGGGATGCTCGGGAAGATGGATTCTTTTATCTAAGAAACAAAACCAGATGAACTAAAGCTGTGATTTGTCAAGAGCCCAGCGTCTTGTGAGAGATTTACTCTGACAAATAATGACCTGCTTTGTTACAGTATGTAGCTGATGTTTTAAAGTCAAGGGCAAAATCTTCTAATATTTGTGAGGATCACAATACAAGACTAGTTTCCCCTGTTGTCACTGCAAGCTTACAGTCGTGTATTTCAAGGGTGAAACAGTATAACAAACAGGCACAACTGCTGTTATTTGTATCACAGACATTTCCAGCTGTCAACAGATAGCTACTGTACATAAGACACAGCTAGCCAACCAACCAGACCATATTAATGAACAAGGTCATCTTCCAATGCTAATAGACTGGAAACAAGGAGACCACCAGGGGTAGTTGTGGGACTTGTGGAGAAGGAATTTTGTTACGACACCACTGAATGATCTCCCAGAATTTTACGGAAATGAGGAAAAAGGAGGTGGTTTAAGAAAATCCCTCAATTCTGTCACAGTACTGGCACAACGAAACCAGCTCATTTTGTTCTTGAAATCAAAAGGGGCAGAAAACAATACAAATTCTCACTCGCACAGCTACACTGAAAGATGTCTGCAGAGCCCTCTATTTTTATTCCCAATGTAATGTGAGTAATTCTAAAACAACAACAATGTTTTTCATTTGTGACGAAGCTAGAAGTTGCGCTTGTTTTTTGGCAGTGAAGGTTGGGAGTGATCCTCCCTCTCTATAGACACAGTCTGTAACTCTGAGAGCAGGTGCACGCCCTACATCACAACAGGTGCTTGAACAGAGAACAATGGTTTTATTTACATAAAAAGCAACTCTTGCTCCATATTGTACTGCAAATGTTAGAACCCATATAACCCACTGAGCCACAGCATCTCTGCAGCACGGAGACAAAAACACTACACAGTAGTACTGAACCTTTTGCTATAAAGACGGGGCTAACTGACCATCAGATGAAAATGACACCTTTAGTGATCCTGTACTCATCTGCAATTCCTCAAAATCCATAAGGACAGACATCCAGTATGCAGCTAGCTGTGGTGTCATGTATATACACTCTGATCAGTCAGTGTTTAAAAGCAAATTAAACGACCGCCCACTGAAAACTGCCACTTAAGTGAAACCCTGAAACTAGGTTCTGGTAATGTTTTATTCATATGACACAGAAGCTTTGAACAAAAGTTATCGACGCGATGAAAGTCCATGTGGCATAAAACATACACAAAGAACGTTCAGTTACGATGGCTACCCATATTTAGTCAAACATAATTCAAAAACAGATTTTAAAGAAGTATTTCATAAAAGCAAAGAAATTTCCAAAGACCATAATTTCCCTAACTTAGCACTAAATGCTGATAAACTAAAAATGATATTCAATTTGTTTATTTAACAGAAATATATGTGTCAAATAATGACATAATTAATACCCCACTTGGGCCTGTAAATTGGACTTATTAAGTAATCCTTAATCATAAGAATATAACAAGTATGGTAATAATACTTTATTATTTAATTAATTACAGTAATTAACTTTAAACGATAAGATATTACAGATGTTAACAAATTAAGGACTGGTAATGTTAGGATTAATATTAGGAGAAACTGAGTTAAACCACTGTGAATGATGCACAACATAATTATATACAAACATTCAAAAATACGTTCATGATTAATCATACTGTATATGGTAACAGCATTCCTAACAGATCACAATGGGCATTTCAATATTACACTACTAATAAACAAAAGCATTATCGTGTATTATTATAATCCATTGATCTGTTGTACATTACTGTACTCTCAACATTGTCTTTAATTTTAATTTAATTCTACTTACATCTGTCATTTTAATTTTTCAGTTCCTCAAAATCTCAATGTTGTCAACAAGGGACAAAAAACAGATTCACTTACATTAGTATCATTGGATAGCTGGGTTAAACAATGCATGAAGTGACTTGGTTTGCCTTCGAGAGCTTCTTCGATTTCCTTCATCTTCAAAAAACTATCTAAAAGTAAATATTTAAGTATTAGGACAGGAAACAGATCAGGCGACCTGTGATAGGGGCCATTTTGGATTTGTGGAGAATTTATGTTCTTTCAGACAAAACGTGGCAAGAATATCATCAACGCTGACTTTTTTTTTCTTTATAGCTCCTTCAGAAACTGTCTACCCTGATCTATGAAAGAAAATAATTTAAAGCAGACTATTCCACATCAAATAGTGATGGATCAAGCTGTTCCTTTAGTTGTACAGAGTAGATGTTTGGAGTTGGAGGGCTTTGGGCTTCTATGGGTTCAAATCCCAGCCAGGAAATACAGATGTTGTACACTTAAGTGAGGTTCTATTCCCAGACTGTCCCAACAAAAGAAATTGACAGGGAAAAGCTGTACCTTTATTGTGCTTGCACACGAAGGGCAGAGTCCGTTGGCAGGGGACATATTTGTAAAGAGACAGTTGCTGGGAGGGGTCCACTGAGATCGTTCTGCACTCTTCTGAAGGTATTTGCTTGGGATCTGCAGCACAGAGAGTCATGGAAGAAAAGGCCTTGCTCAAAAAAATTGACATGGCCGAGACATTCACAAAACAAGGCTTTCCACACAAGGGTATAACACTGTAAACGAAACCCACCATTCTCATAATTGAAACTGATCCAATCCTAGTAATCCTAGTGACCCAAAGAATATCTTTGCAAGTAGCTACAGAAAGTCATCAAGTGCTACATCAAAATCCAATAGAAATACATCCTTTTATCATCTATTTTTTTAAACAAGACGTTTAAGAAGGCAGCACACAAATACCAGTCACTTCATTTTGTTGCCAGTTACAATTAATAATTCACAATATCAAACAAACTGATTTTCCCTTGTTCTCATCCACTTAGGCAGGATACACCCCAGACAGGACGCCAATCTATCGCAGATCACACGGAGACACCGAGTAAACACACTCACACCAGGGCCAACTTTACCAGAACCAGAACCAGGGCCAACTAACCTACCAGTATTTTTCTGGACTGTGGGAGGAAACTGGAGCACCTGGAGGTAACCCGCACAAACACGGGGAGAACATACAAACTCCAGTAGCACCCCAAACACTGAACACAGGGCCCCAACACTGTGAGGCAGCAATGTTAACCAGTTTACCATCATGTAGCCCATACGTCATGTACAATCACACTTATATAGCAAACGATGCCTTATACTACCTTTCTACAGTTTATGCTGTAACATAAGCTTGACTTTTTATCATATATCTACCCAACTATCTTGATTCTATACATCTACACATCTGGGCTCACAGTGGCCTCCTGTATCGCAAA